CATTAAATCAAATGCTGACTGACGTTTTCGCCATTATTTTACACACTGAATTGTCCACAGATTTTTTTCCGTTTTTCTCCATCATGACAAGGAGAACACGGCGGGTGTGACCGATCGGCAGGGGATGCTCACTCCTCCATGGCACCTGATCCCACTTCTGATGTTTTAGTGGTCCGTGTTTACTCTGCTTCTCATTTGTATTGTTTGAATGCATGGACTTTCGAGCTTGAATACTGTTCGTTATCTCCATATTTCACATAAAGACGGTTTCCGTGTAACCTAGCTTACTCTTGTTACATAATTTTTCGTGATTTTTTTTTTGTTTTTCTCTGTAAGAGGGACAACGAAATTGAGGGAACAACATGCTACAGATTTTGTTAATGATAGAATAGGACAAGGAAGCAGTCCAGAAATTTACCTGTCAATATTTCCTACCAAACAACGAAATTTGATGTGTACGAAAATTGACGAATATCCACCTCCTTTTTGCAATGGGTACATGTATCACCCATTGAATAAAATCGAGACAAGAGACCCTAGTTTATTAGTTGTACGTTCGTCTATAATTAATGTGGGAAAAAACTCTTCATGTGTATATGGTGCATTCTGAGCATTTTCCACCCAAAATGCTTATTTGTTTTTCGTTTATTTTTAAAAAGCCACTTGTATCCTGTTAACATAATATATACATGTATTAGTTTAAGAATAGAGCCCAGTCTCATCATTTTCACCATGCGTAAAAAATATTTTGATTGGGGAAAAATTCTTATGTTTGCAGTCTCGTAAATTATTATTATTATTATTATTATTTTGGTATATGAAATCTATAACTTAGGATCACTATTGAGAGAATTTTTTTAAATCTTGCCATGCAGTATTTGATTTTGCGCACATTTTTACTTCATATGGCAGTGGCGTGTATTCCTTTCTGTTGATGTGTAGGCTAATGTGGAGTCGAAGTTTTCACCAGGCGCAAAGAACCAGTACGATAAGATTTCACCCCCTATTAAAAAAGGGGTGGCACCCACCGAGAAAAAAATCAGGAAAAGGCAAAGTGGCGTTGTATTATATAAAGAAGTTTATAATTAGGTTCGCTAATAAAAGATGTTTTTACATGTTTTCTGGTTTTTATCAAATATGAAGGGAAATAAATTTCAGTGTTTTACCTGAGATATTTTAAGTGAACTTGAAGGCATCCATTGGTTGTCATTTTGAACAGTGAATATATAGTAATATAAAATAATTTTAAGCAATAATGAAAATAAAATCTTCATTACCATTTAACAAAATTGAAAAATTTAAATCCTGCACAATCCAGTGCTTAGGTAATTAGGAAAGTTTCTTTTTGAATTATGCGTTTTAAACAATATTTTGCTTTTAATACGTTTTTCTAATAGTATGAAAATATATCCCGTAATTTTTTTTTCTATTTAATTGTTGAATATGTAACATTTTTCCGCCCTTGACGTCAAATAAAATCATGATCAAAATTTTCTGATCTTTTCTCCTTTTTTCAACCATACTACAATATAAATCTTTATTTTTACAACTTGAGAAAATGATGTGTAGGATAAAGCGTTTATGCCTATATGGAAAATACACCACTGTTTGGGGATACTCCTTTTGTATGTCTATTACATGTATTTAGATTATAGTCTTTTATTTAGATTTATAAATACTTGTATTTTTAATAAAGAACATTATACAAAAATCTGATTAATATATGTTCAAGGTACTAAATACAATTGATCATGTGGGACAGTGTGAGTTGGATTGTCAAGAGAAAGGTTGCAAACGCTCCCCTAGACCTGTACTTGGTTACTGTTAGCCTTTTAGACTTTGCTTTGTCAAATGTTCTCTTAATTCACCATCACTGTCGTCATTTTCTTTTCACTATTTTCAGAACGGTTTTAACAGTCTTCCAGTATACCATATATTTTCTACAGTCCAACCTTCTATAAAAATACAAGTGTTATTCATTCATGATTAATTAATTCAATCCTTCTCCACAAGAGGCGAAACACTATTAAAATTTACTATTTTTTTCTTTGAAAGTATGTGTTATGCGGAAAGAAAGAGGGTGTTCAAGGCGAGAACAATCCCCCGCTCTGAGGCAGGATTTTTACAATTTTCAAAGTTTATGGAAAAATTATTTCTACAATAATATTTCCAGTGATGGCATCTCCAATACAATTTTATTGAGTGATTTATTGGGTAATAATTTGTTTTAAAAGTTGCCAGTAAAGCATATTTTAGAACAAAATGAGTTTATTGGAGCCATAAAAGTGATTTTTGAATATGAATGGGTTAAGTCTCCATTCTACATTAACGTTTGAATGACGGACAGTTAAAAGTAAAATCCATTTTATGTTTCCAAAAATTGGAGTCTGAACCCATTCTATATGAAAATCGAAAAGTTCTGAAAAAAATAACGTTTCAACAAACTTGTTCATTTTAAATCAAATAGACACGCACCAACCACCAAAAAAAAAAAAAAAATAGACTTCGTGGCTTAGTGGTTAACGCGTTCGAATCAGTCTTCCTGATTCCTGAAAAAAAAAACCCAAACAAACAAACAAAAAACAAACAAACAAAAAAAAAACAAACAAAAAAACCTTCAGTCTAACGCCTAACCGTGAGCTTTGGAGAGTTTTCGAATCAAGTGTGAACTTTTAATTTTTCATAACCTAAAAATACATGTGTAGAAATATAAATTATTTATTAACGTTTTTTTTCCCTCAATAAAATAAAGGAATCAAATGTGTAATAGATTATATGGACAAGCCAAGGGTCATTTCACACACATGATTTACTGTAGAAGCACATATTTTCATGGGGATAAAATTTCGTTGATTTGTAATCTTGAAAGGTTTCGTGGGCATTGAATTTCGTTGTTTGAAAGTAACCCTATTCAATATATAGTCAATGACATATAAAAATTTCATGTACGCTTCAATTTCGTTCATAATTGTTAGCAATTAACGAAATTTAATCCCCAACAAATATTTCTTTTACAGTAAGTATCATTTTTCCTCCGGAGATGTGTAGTCGTAAGCGTCTTAGTATCAAATCAATAATATATTCAGGATTTTTATCGCTAGGGTTCGAATCCCATAAATACCACATTATTTTTTTTAAATAAAAGAATACTTTTTTCGATAATTTCTTTTTTTTCTCTCAGAAAAGTTTTGTTTATCATAATGTCATAATTACAATAATGAGAACTTTAAATACTTCATTCAAAAATTGAATATGATTCTTATGTATCTAAAGCTATTATAGGCATTCTGAACGCCATGTTCACCCATCTTCTTTCTCTTTCCCCGTAAATGTTCATAAGACCAAGCCCTGAGGTCTATTGGTTGTCGCAGTGTTTCAGAGGTATGTTCTACTACGACCGTTCCGCAGTTGCTGTAGAAACAAGCATGCATATATTGAGCACATTGAAAATTCACATGAAAAAAAAAAAAATTAGACATAAAATTTTCATAAACGTGTAAGAGGAGATGCAGATAAGGGATGGCTACCCCCAAATGTTATGGACGTATACACTTATAAGTTGTACAAACGGAAGGACGGACATCCCTATCACTATAACCCTCCCCCCCCCCCCACACAACTTTTTCAAGCGGGGAATATATGGCCAACTTGTTTGAACTAGCAATAATATGGCGTTAACTTTAATAATATATATACAATTAGTTAACACCATTTAAGTGGAGAAAATTCTGAAAAAGGTGTCTGTCCTAGATGAAAAAAATACAATATCTGAATGGTACATAAGTATAACTGTAACTTTTAAAAAAAAATTAAACAACCATATGCATTTTACAAAGAAGTTTTCCATTCACTTTGCTTTATAAACAAAGAAATCATTCTAAAATCCCAATCGGCTTCAGTTAAAATCTGAATTTTCACCCTACTAGTCTTCATTACATGGTGTCACTTACGTCGCGGGTTCGAATCCCACTGTGGGACGTGGAGACCGGTCCTTCGGATGAGACCGTATAAACCGAGGTCCCGTGTCGCAGTAGATGCTGGCACGAAAAAGATCCCTCACTGCTCAATGGCCGTAAGTGACGAGTATAGGACAAAATTTGCAGCTCTCCACCGGCAAGTGGCGGCGTCTCCATATGAGTGAAAAATTCTCGAGAGGGACGTTAAACAACATACAAACAAACAAACATGGTGTCACTGCGCACCTTCTTTCTCACTTTTCAATCGGACAGATATTTGGAGTTTCGGAATTCCTATAGCAAAACTATTTATACTGCCATTCTTCCTATAATATTGGGGGCACCCATCTCTCATCCGCAACTTCTCCTACACCACTGAAAAATTTACATTCACAGAAACTTTCTTACATAGTGTCATTGTACACCTCCTATTTTACGTTTCACGGACAGATTTTAGGGTTTCCCATCGAAAAACAAAGACACCCGTCATTCTTTCTGTAATATCGGGGTAACCATCTCCATCTTCTTCCACACCACTGAATAAAACTTAAGAGATTTCACAGAATCTTTATGACAGTGCCCTTGTGCACCCTCTATTCTTCGTTTCTAACAGACAGATATTTGGGGTTTCTCATAACAAAACTTAGGACTTTGCCATTAGACAGTAAAACACCCTTTTAGCGAACACGCTTATACTGAATGAGGCTTAAAGCCAAGTAATTTTAATTCCCCTTGATTTTAAAATAAATTGTATACTTAATGCTTAACGGATATAACAAATTACGCTTATAACGAAGCAAAATTGTCCGTCCTTGGCACCTTATTATAAGTGTGTTTTAGTGTACTTATGTAGGAGCACGGATATCATTTTGTGAGCTCAGTGCTCACAGTACCTCTAGTATTTTATTTTAATATATTTTCTGAACAGTTTATGCAGTAGTAAAAAAAATCCCCATTATGTTCAATTTTTTTGTATTTTTTAAATAACCTGTCTCCTACTTCAAATAAAGCAATTAACACCAAGATAAATAAAACCAAGAAGAATTTTTCAATTATTTTTCAATTATTTTTCGCTTAGATGAATTTCTCATGCACACAATACACAAAATAAGCATTACTTCTTCAGTTAAAACATTGTTGAGAAAACTTGGCACAAATTGCACTGAATTTTCCTATTTGAATTCTTTCATGACAACAGTCAACAAGTCTTTGAATTTTTATATACATGTACAGTATACAGAAGAGGTAAACGTTAATGGCGGCTAGCTAGATTCTGATTTTAGCAGACCCTCCCCATCTGGGGGGATACCTAGCTCCTCGTCGGTCCACTGGGAGGCATCAGGAAGTGTGTGATGACCGCCCTAAAACAGATGGGAAATATTCAAAGTGTGCAGGGTAAAGTCCAATAATAAAACGTTATAGCTAGTAAAAATTTAGTTAATTCATGCTTACAGTACTTTTAAGTAATATTATATCACACAGTACACAATATGATAAATCAAAATGGAAAATAAAACTTAATTATCAAGTGCAGCAATGACAAATAAATATCGATCATCCTTTATGAATAACTTGACCCAAGTTTAAGAGCAATGCTTTTTATATATCACTGAGACTTAAGATATTTTCACAATTCTTTTACTTCTGAAATTTTTGAATTAAACAAACTTTAATCATCATTAGATATCAAGTTCTACTCAAGTTTTTGACATTTCTACCCCTGATATTTATTGAGGTTAGATTCCATACAATTTCTTAATTTTTTTTCAATCTGGAAAAGATATGGTTTGACATAAAAGTCTTGGCACAAGTGAACTTGAACTCATTTTACCTAAGGATGCATTGCTCAGTGGCTTTGAAGAAGCTAAAAGAATGTTAGAACAAGTAACCAAGAGGCCCGTGGGCCACATCGCTCACCTAAGCACATTGGCTAGGCAAAAGCACAAATCAGTTCAGTATTGAAAAGACCGGGGGGTGGGGGTTTAAACTACCTGATGATGCTTCCATGTCAATGTAACAAATGGCTTTGTTGTACTTGAGAAGGTTTTAAAAAAAATTTCCCATATATTCCTTTGTAAAAATTTGATCCCCCATTGTGGCTCCTCCCTATCCCAGGGGTCATCATTTGAACAAACTTGAATCTACACTACCTGAGGATGCTTCCATATCAATTTGACTAAACATAGCTTTTCTGTTCTTGAGAAGAAATATTTCTTCTATATTTCTTATGTAAAACTTTCCATCCCCCATTGGGCCCCACCCTACCCCTGATGATGCTTCCATGTCAGTGTAACAAATGGCTTTGTTGTACTTGAGAAGATTTTTAAAAAAAATTCCCATATATTCCTTTGTAAAAATTTGATCCCCCATTGTGGCTCCTCCCTATCCCAGGGGTCATCATTTGAACAAACTTGAATCTACACTACCTGAGGATGCCTCCATATCAATATGACAAACATAGCTTTTCTGTTCTTGAGAAGAAATATTTCTTCTATATGTTCTTATGTAAAACTTTCCATCCCCCATTGGGCCCCATCCTACCCCTGTGGGTCATCATTCAAAACAGGATCTACACTACCTGAGGATGCTTCCATATCAAAATGACTAATCATGGTTTGCAGTTATTTTCCTTTATATTTCTATGTAAAAGTTTGATCCTCCATTGTGGCCCTGCCCTACTCCCGGGGGTCATGGTTTGAACAAACTTGAATCTACACTACCTGAGGATGCTTCCATATAAATATGACTCATCATCGCTTTGCTGTTCTTGAGAAGATTTTTAAAGATTTTTCCTATATATTTCTATGTAAAACTTTGATCCTCCATTGCGGCCCCGCCCTACCCCCAGGGGTCATGATTTGAACAAACTTGAATCTACACTACCTGAGGATGCTTCCATATAAATATGACTCATCATGGTTTTGCTGTTCTTGAGAAGAAGATTTTTAAAGATTTTTCCTATATATTTCTATGTAAAATTTTGATCCTCCATTGTGGCCCCGCCCTACCCCCGGGGGTCATGATTTGAACAAATTTGAATCTACACTACCTGAGGATGCTTCCACATGAGTTTCATCTTTCCTGGCCCTATGGTTCTTGAGAAGAAGATTTTTAAATGATGCCATTATTTTTTCAGTAATTCCTAATTATCTCCCCTTGAAAGAGGGCCAGGCCCTTCATTTGAACAAACTTGAATCCCCTTTACCCAAGGATACTTTGTGGCAAGTTTGATTGAAATTGGCCCAGTGTTTTTTGAGAAGAAGCCGAAAATGTGAAAAGTTTACAGACAGATGGACAGACAGATGGACGGACAGATGGACCGACAGACGGACGCCGGAAAAATGTGATCAGAAAAGCTCACTTGAGCTTTCAGCTCAGGTGAGCTAAAAAGGGACCTTTATAGTCATCTGAGTACAAATCATGATTTTTTTTTCATCATTTTCTTGAAGAATTAGCCACCTTTAATTTTTTCCCCAAGTTTTTGATGCGGTTAAAGTAATAAACATATGCCTACAAGAACTTCATATTTTTCTACTAGAGATATTAATGTTGTTAAATTAATGTAACTGATGAAGGAGAAATATAAGACAGACCAGAATTCTCTGATGAGACTGTAGCTCTACTGGTTTTACTTATATAGGAAGATAAAAGAAGCACTTGGACTTGAAACTTTGCAACAGCAATAAATAGAATAATGATCCATGGTTTAGTCTGTTTTTGTGGCAAGATTTATTGCAATCAGAATAAAATTGTAGGAGGAGTAGTCTTTTAAAATAATTTTACAGAAATTTTGATTTAAGTAACCATGGCAACATCATTCAACAAAATCAAAAAGCAATAATGACAATTATGTATCTTAGTGTAGTCTACTTGTATGCCAAGTTATACTGAAATCAGACAAAACATGTAGGAGGAGTACATTTTGAAAGTTTTTCAAAAAAATTCTATTTTTAGTAACCATGGCAAAACCGCTCATCAAAATCCAAAAATGGTATAGAGAATTAGGTATCTTAGTGTAGTCTACTTGTGTGTCAAGTTATACTAAAATCAGACCAAAACTGTAGGAGGAGTAGTCATTTTGAAAGTATTTCAAGGAAATCTCTAGTTTTAGTAACTATGGCAACACCGTTCATCGAAATCAAAAACCGATAAATAGAATTATGTATCTTTGTGTAGTCTACTTGTGTGCCAAGTTATAATGAAATGAGATCAAAAATGTAGGAGGAGTAGCATTTTGAACGTATTTCAAGGAAATTTCTGTTTTTAGTAACCATGGCAACAGCGTTCATCGAAATCAAAAACCGATAAAAAGAATTATGTATCTTTGTGTAGTCTACTTGTGTGCCAAGTTACATTGAAAAGAGATCAAAACTGTAGGAGGAGTAGTGTTTTGAATGTATTCACAGAAATTTCTATTTTTAGTAACCATGGCAACAACATTCATTGAAATCAAAAACCGATACACAGAATTATGAATCTTAGTATAGTCTACTTGTGTGCCAAGTTATAATGAAATCAGACCAAAACTGTAGGAGGAGTAGCGTTTTGAAAGTTTTTCACAGAAACTTCTATTTTTAGTAACCATGGCAACACTGTTTATTGAAATCAAAAACAGATATACAGAATTATGTATCTTAGTGTAGTCTACTTGTTTGCCAAGTTATATTGAAATCAGACCAAAACTGTAGGAGGAGTAGCATTTTGAAAGTTTTTCACAGAAATTTCTATTTTTAGTAACCATGGCAACACCCTTCATTGAAATCAAAAACCGATACACAGAATTATGTATCTTAGTGTAGTCTACTTGTGTGCCAAGTTATATTGAAATCAGACCAAAACTGTAGGAGGAGTAGCGTTTTGAAAAATTGTTTACAGACGGACGGACAGACAGACAGACAGACAGACAGACGGATGGACGACGGACACCTTACTATCGCATAAGCTCTTCTGGTCTCTGACCAGTAGAGCTAACAAGACCAGGATTCAAACCAGAGCTCCCTGAATTTCTAGTCTACTACACGCAAGCGAGCTTGCCACCAGTGATTGAAACTGCCTGCCACATTTTAAAGAACCTAAGTCAATTTCATGACAGCATATTATTTGGAGCAATCTTCTACATGTTCTAATGTTTGTTTTGTTTAAACATAGCAGAAAAATTTCTTACTTCTTGCTCCCATGCACTGACGATAAATGTGACACTGAATCATAGACAAAATATTTCTAGTAAATCAATACATACTGTCCAGTGATCAAAATGTGCAATCATAAAGTAAGAGATCCGTGTAAATCCAACCAGAAGTAGTACATTTCCAATGATCCACATAACATCGTTAGGGGCTGGGCGTCCAATGGATACCTTGTAGGTCCTCTCTCTGAAACAAAATGTACCAGGTACATTATGAACAAATCATATCTAACAACATGAACAAGAGGCCTCTAGTATAGATGGTTTTCCTATGATGTATTTTTCCTAGGAGTTATTCCCCTTGGCTGCCATCTTGTAGGTCAAAGTAGTGAATTCTCCTCTTTGAGCAACCAATTTTAAAAGATGCATGCCAAAAATATATGGGAAAAAATATTTACAATATTGAAATTATGAATTAATTTAAAAGAAGCTTTAACAAACGTATATTCATAAGAAAAACTGTGTTATCTTTACCCCAGTGCCCAGTATAACAAATTGAACTTGGTTGAATAATGAAAGGATCTGTGGATGTTGACCTACAATATGGCGGCCATGGGAAATAGGGCTGTCATCGTTCCATAATTTTTCCGGGTCGGGTCGGTTCTGTAAATTTTCGGTTCGGTTTCGGGTTTTTCGGTTTGGTTATTTACTTCTATTTTAAACCTTAATTTCAGGAATAAAACTTAAAAATCTTTATTAAGGTCTTCCGTCTTCACTGAAGACCTTATAGTGATTCTACTGTTTCTTCTTCTTATTATTATTATTTTTCCGCCTATCGAATTTTGTGCACGCGATTTCTTGAAGACTACTTGATGGATTTACATGAAATTCGCAGGAACAATATGTTGTAAACTGAAGTTATTTTATCCGAGAGAAAATTTGGAAATTTACTTCTGGTGCCAAGTTACGGACCATTTTCTGAATTTAAAAATGACATTTTGTCCGCGGATAATCTCAAGAACGGTAAAAGATGTCAATGTGAAACTTTCAGGGATTATAGATCGTGATAAATACTTGCCAGGACGTGACTTTTCGTTCGTCGTCATTACTTCCGGTCGTTACCAGATGCGAATTTAAAAAGTTGATTTTTTAAAACTTTTTTGATTTTCAATATTTTTCTTTGATAGTAGTAGTGGTAATAGAGGCACTTCTGAAAATGCTTAATATATAATTTGTTTTCAAATTGATCAATCTAAACTCTAGATATTCGCATTTTAAAATTTGAAGCTGTCTTCCCAAACTCCGACGAGCAGGTCGGCACTCGGAGCTCCTCGGTTGGCTCGTTCCTCGCACGCTAACCTCGGACGTCAATGGTGTTCTACCATGTTGCTGATACAGTCATGTTATCTTATTTGAAATCCCTCCAAATGTTATACCTTTAAAGTCTGAGTTACTTTCAAGCACGCCCAACACTATGATTTGCTTTCAAAGACTACTTACATGATGTTGTGATCAAAACCAATATCCAAGGAAGAATTAGACAAGAGAAAAAAATGTTTGAAGAACTTTATGCAGAGTGAAATATGAAATGAGTTACAAGGCAGTTTCCGGCGGAGAAATGTAATCGATATGATGCATATTTCTCCACCAATCACTTCCGAGGTTTGTATGGAGCGTAGCGGAGTCAGTCGAGGATTGCCGATTGGCAGGTTGGAGTTTACGGAGACATCCGAGCGTCTTGTTGAACGAAACTACCATAAGGATCAATGAAATATGAAGGAATTGTTGGATCTTTCAGATTATGAAATGGATAATCTGTCTTCGAAAACATAAATAATCTGACCTCCTAATGCAATAAAATGAGTAATTTGTACGGTACATACAATAATATATATGAGAATTGAGACCATTCAATAGAACATACATTTCAAAGAAAAGGCGCGAAGATTTACTCGTGACGTAATGTATCGTGACTCAACTTTCATAGTAGAAAAATGGTCTGATGTAGAAGTGCAGAAAAAGATTACACGGACATGTTTGTATGAAATACAGGTATATGGAATTGCATGGAATAAAAAGTTGAATACACAAAGAATAAAGGAAGTAAACAGTATCATCAGTTCCTCAGTAATAGATTATTTGTTATTGTTTAAACTCAAGTAACGAATTCCGATGTGAATCTGCTTGCACAAAATTTGGCTAGCTAACTCTCATACTATAATTCCGCACTATATAAAAAAACTTTTAACCTCCCTGACGCTCGTTACTTCAGGCAATGATACAAAGTTAACATTGATGATGGCTGGTAAAAATGCGCTGGTGTAGTGGCTTCCATATTGAATTTTCACGAAGGCGATCTGGGTTTAATCCCGAATTTGTTTGCTTAAATTTACGTTTTCAACTTTATAAATGATGTCGAGTGTTTTTTTTTTTTAGAGATGATAGAACACGATTTCTAGATTGGCAAAGGGACCTTTTCATGCGTCGTCGTTAGTTCGGGTCGCTTCTGGAAGTGAATTTAAAAAATCAAATTTTTCAACTTCAATATTTTTCTGTATTATTTGTAAGTTTAAGAGAACCTCCTTTCTTAATACTAAATATATAATTTGTTTTCGAATTGATAAATCCAAACTCTTGATATTTGTCAATTTCACTTTGAAGTAGGAGTTGAAATGGCGTAATGGTTAGCACGTTGGATTCTCACACTGACGACCAGGGTTAAATCTCCAGAGTGTCACTTTTTCAGCTTGAATTTACATTTTTATTTTCAAAATCGGACGGAAGACCTCTCATTGCTCTCAATGAGTTTCTAGTTTGTTACATTAAATTTACCATGAAAACTAATCTTAACCATGTTAACGTCTTAATATCTGTGTTTGGGACTACGAGGCCAACGATTCGCTTCAACATGACCATTCTTGCCAGTTTTGATAATTATCCCATCCTTTCATTACAAGTGTTTTGTCATGGATGAAGTATATTTCAGTTGTGATATTTATTTATCACTGTTATCATCATTTTTCGCATAAAAAAAAAATTCTAAAATATAAATCTGACCCGAACCGAAAAAATGGAACTGAAACTGAACCGAACAACTTGGACTGCGGTTTTCAGTTATTTCGGGGAACCGTGAAAGCCCTAATGGGAAATAACTCTTGCTTAAATCACCTTATTGGAAAACTATCTATTGAACCATAACCCTCACCTTAGTGACCTAGTGGGACCCCCCCTCCCCCCCCCCTCAATCCCCCATCAAAAAAAAAAAAAAAAGAATGAAAATGAAACTGACCTGCACAAATGTTATTTATCAGGTTTATATTACTTATTAGCTACATGTACGTAGCTTGAATTATCTACTAGGTGGCTTTATGTAGCTACTTGAAGTAACTTGATTTAGCTATTTTAATGCAAGTTTTTTTTATTCATAAAAGAAAAAAAATTGCACCCGTTTTTTTGTTTGCAAGTATATGACTATAAATTTAATTTGTTCTATATACCAGTAGAGTCTTAAAAGCAACCTAGAGAAAAGATAATATAAACATTGCTGCTTTTGAACACTTTAAGCAAAATGTTTATTTATAAAGTGTAATAGTTTGGTCCGTGGATATCGGCCTGGGTAGCTCATTCGGTAGAGCACCTGACTAGAGATGCAGGGGTCCCGGTTCGATTCCCGGTCCAGCCATACATTTTCTTCGTTCCTATTGCAGATTTGGTGCCATGACCAGGATTCGAACCTGGGTTGTTGCGGCTACAACGTGAAGTACTACACTTTAATACGTATATTAACTCCTGGTCAGGCTAGTCTGTTCAAAAATTTTGCTTGGTCCAAGGTGTTTTTTTTTTTTTACAAGGTTTAATGTGTCAATATGGTCAATAATCTTTGGCCGACCTCTTAAGGCCGTAATGTCATTTGGCCGAGATTTCTACCATCACAATCGACATTAAGAAAACGGAATTTGACATCACTACTCATATTCTCTTCTGATCCCACAAAAGATCCAAAACTTCTTGTGTATCAATCTCTCAGATTGTACATATAAATGAAGACTTGTCTAAAATTATTGCATTCAATGTACTTGTTTGTCCAAACTTATTGCATTCAATGCACTTTTTTGTCCAAACTTATTGCAATCAATGTATATTTTATTCAATATTTATGCAAATTTGCAACATTTTTTGATAAATAATAAAAATATATTTTGGAATTTTTTTCCGCATTTTTTGCACTGTAAATTTATATCACGTTTGCCAAGTGGACATAAGTATTGACCATGCGCACTGGAAGTCAATGTAAAATAAAAGTATATACATGTAAATATTCACTCTATTCACATTTGTAACTTCCACTTCCAGTGCCCAAATATCTGACAACCCCCTCTACAATGACCTTATTTTCTTAGCCTACCCTAGAGGAAGTCCTCGCGGATGTGAGCCTCCTAAACGCACAGACGAGGTGTGGATACTTCTGCGTGGACTCCGCACACAAAGCTGGGCCAAACTGGACACCAGCCGCCGCGACATCATGATGTTATTGTTGTCTCCTCCACAAGGACACTTTACTAGTTCTCACGAGTACAGGGAACTAGTTTGTAAAAGTGAACAAAACTCATATAACCGGATAAATTTGGAAAATGTTTTCTGATGCATATTATGTAGTGGGAATTTGATACTTGATATAGACATTTTAAAATAAAGGGGTTCAGTCATAAAACAGTATATGGTCATTTCATTTTTAACTAAATTATATTCCATTTAAGAACCAATTTGTATAAAATCTTAAAAAAAATTCATTGCGCATGTGAACTCAATTTTTGTCCTGAATTTTCCACTATAGGCCCTAAATTGTTTTTTTCTGGGATGGTTTACAAAATGTGAAATATTGATCATTAAGGATAATAAAATTTATGAAATCATCAAGTCAAAATTTCTAATATGAGAATTCTATAATCATGCAATTTCTTAACAAAATTTGTGCTGTAAAATTTTCAATATCGCATTTGATATCTTAGATAGAATGTTCTATCGTTAAAATGATATTGTCCTACGGACCCGGTTTAACGATAGAATTCGTTCCGTGTATTGACAATGTTGCAAAATAATTTCAATTTTCAATTCAATTTATTGATTCACCAATCATGTTGGCATACAACCATGTTACGAACAAAATGAAAAATACAGTGTGTTTTCAGATTACTAAAACATATACTAAAGTACATACATACATGCAAGTGTACAAATCAGTGAAGTCAACTACGTTTACAACTTGAAGTTATACATAATCATTATGCAAATAGTATAAACAGTATAATATGGACAGAGATAAACTAATTAATGCATTAAATATATATTATTGTGCTCTATTTTTAGAACGCAATTCAAAACATTCATGTAAAAATTCGCATAGCCTTCTAGAATGAACTGCATTGTCAGGATTACAAAGTACTTTACAATGATTTTCCTTCAACATGTTATCATTTAAATTATAGATGTTCAATAAACACGGGCGATAACTCGTACTCTGTGCATTTTCTATGAACAATCCAGAGAGTTCCGAATGTCAACATGGCGTTAAATTTGAAGCGAGGAAAAAACGTTGAGAAAATGAGTTGAATTTTCGTATTTATATGTATTATTTTTTAGGTTAAAAGACATATACCATCTCAAAAGGTTTGTTATGATTAATTTGGTAGTTATTTTTAGTGCAACTCCCTTTGTATTCTTCAAAATCATTTCGGAGTGGATCCACTCCGATTTGCTACATTGCAAGTACATGTATATGGGACGTATTCTAACTGTGGTGAGGGCTTGTCCCGAGACACAGTTAGATTATTCTAACTATTGATATCTGATATCTTCGGAACACCAACAAATAACTGAAATTATTGTTAAATTATGTGATGTAAAGAAATTACAAACATTTTACATTTTATGGTGCTAAAATATAATGTTTTTGTTGAAGAAAAAAAAAAAAATAGCCACAAAAAGAGTTGTAATATTTATTTTAAAAAGGGTATTTTTTAATCAATGAAATTTTTAGTGAAACAAACAGCATAGATAGTACAGTTTAAACTCCAATTTAAAAACTGAAAATCACAAGCATAAAATCTAGATATATAAGTTGAGAACAAGTTCAAAAACTTATATCAATCCTTCTCCCTGTCATCTATTGCTTGATATTGTAAATATATTACGGTATGGTTTGTCCGTCAAATTCTAATTCTGGGCCAACCCTGAGTATTCCTCTGATTGTTGAACCCAGATTCATAAAACCTCCAATAAGCCAACACGCGTTATAGTTTTAGTACTTTTATATAGAATCAGCATGGAATATACTTTTACATGAGTTTGGGATGTATCAGCACCGAAGGTCTGATTCCAACTTCTATATAATTTTTAACAACAAAACATACATATTGAACAACGATAGAACAAAATAAAAGGATCAACAAAAAGTATTAAGAAATCAAGCATTAAACAATTATTGAGCGAATGATGACATTTTAGCGACATGTATATAATAGAATTAAAGTAGATGAAAGATTAAGTGTCAATAAATATAAACAGAAGTCAATTAAGGGATTAAGTGTCCATCTCTAATTGTGCCTCGGTGGGATCAAGGCTGTGCGGAATTTATAGAATTTAACACATTTGCGGAAATATACGAAAAGTTTTAATAACAATTTACACGAAGTCCGAAAAGTTAATTCGCATAGTAATTTATGATAATTCCAAAAAGGTCATATTTTACACCGTAACAAATATATAACAGATTCCAGTGACAGAATAGAAACATAACTCAATCATCATCGACCGGGCCATATATACTGTATACATCTGTATCATCAGACAAGGTTACACATTATATATGATCACAAAAAAGTAACCTTATCCCATTAAAAAACAATATAATCTATTAGGGATCCTTTTTCAAAGGAGAGGGAGAGTAGCTAGCACTTTGACACCCCCCCCCCCCCCAAATCTACACTATCAGAATAAGTGAAATTAAATCTGCCCCATATCGAAAAACCTATTTACTGGAAAGGGGATATCAGATTTCCTTTTTCTTTTCGACAAACAGAGCTGGATATACAGTGATTTAATGTTGTAGAGTTCGACCATATTGTAGCAAAAATTGGAGGACCAGCCTTCGACTTTTCAACAGTATTCAATGAAAATTAAAACAAAACAAAAAACTACATGCATGTACGTGTAGCAGTAAAAAGGTTTCTGTAGGGATGGCACATATCATCAAGGAATGTATATGTTCCCCAGGTCCGACCTGTCTGAGGTAAGGGGATAGGGGTGTTACATATATTTTTATACGAAAAATATTATTATGAACTAAATAGAGGTCCTCAATGACATAATATGGATACGTAGTTACGTACATGTATTAATACACTGTACATATCCTTGGATTCTGATGGCTATAATCTATATGTTTCTAAAATGATACATTGGAAATGCAAAATAAAACGAACACAAATATTATTTATTGTCTGCAATTTTTAAAATAGAGCAATTTTGACGCCATTTACGGGGAAAAACCGCAATATATAGCTGTATAGATAATGGATCGTTTAAGAGAATATTAATAAAGAGTTTGCCTGTGCATTAACACACATAATTAGTTTTTTTTTCTAGTTTTATCAATACATGTATTTCCTTTATAATTTGCATGTCAAAAGATTTTTCGGGTAAGTATTCAATAACTTTTCTGCCCCCCCCCCTTCCCAAAATTAATGCTACGTGAAGGTCTGCGTGAAGACCGATTCATTTAGATCGTCTTCGCTATATTGTCAAGTGTTCTTCTGATCAGCTACAGGTACACTCCTCATTAACTCAGTAGTGTAGTAGAGTGTAGCAGAGTAACGGATCAGAAACATGCACTTGGCTATAGCGAAGATGCTCTAAGAACTAAATGTACGAACACAGGCACCTGAAGTGTGGATACCCCCCTCCCCCCACACACACCTTGAAATAAAAAAGTAAGAGTTTATGATTGTTCAAAATAATGAGATCTCCCCTTCAACCATATCCATACTCACTATGCTAACAGATTGACAGATTGAACTTTTGCATTTCAATAGATAAAAACGTATTTTTATTATACCGTACGCAACCAATCTATGAACTTATGAAAAAGTACTATCTACTTGCATACACAGACACTAAACTCACTTGACTTCTAGCAAGGCCGTAACTGGGCTTAATTTTTTAGTGAGACAAGGGATCTAGGGGCCACCCGAGTCCCTAGCGGGTCCAGGATAGAATCCTGACGGGTGTTTTCGGGGGGGGGGGGGGTCCCGAAACCTTGGTTTTAGCAAATTAAAGAAATAATCTTTGAAAGTTTTACGTTTTGAATTATTATTTTTTTTTTTTACATGCTTCCTAAACTATAACGAAGCACCTGGTGAGCATGGTGAGATGATCGATTTACAGAAATTGAAACATATAAGCTGAAAGTATCATTAAATTATAATTTATATTAATTATTTTTAAATAAATTATAATTAAATTAAGCTCAAAGTAAAACTTTTTCATTTACTCAAAAAAAATTAATGAGGAATTTGCTTCACTGGCCTCAATGGTAGTTACGGCCTTGCCTAGTATACTAAGGAGACAATCCTTAAAAAAAATCAAGCGAGTTTAGTGCCTGTTGCAGATGTAGTGGCTACCTTGCCTACTGTAATTTTTTTCAAATTAGAGCATAGGAAATTTTCAGTTGCAACAGCTATGTAACTATAAGCATAAGAGCGACAACTCATTATTTTTATAGAATTTTCAATTTTATCCGATGTAAAATTTTCTCTTGTTCTTGTAAATCGATGAAAAGAACACTATTAGAAAGATAATGCAAAAGGTAACAATAAAATGTAGAGTCTGTATACTTTTTCAAAAAAATATTTCCTCTCAGTGGAGTTGAAATTAATTAGTAAACTGTTTATTAGGCTAATGAAAAATTCGAAACTACGGTTTATTTACAAATTATCAAAATATGGCTTCCTTGGCAACAGCAGGTGCTTTGTAAACGGAGGTAAAGAAATCTTTTGGATTGAGATGGAATTAAGCATACTTTAAGGTAAGTTTGGCACGTAGTTTGAATGCCAGATAATTAGGATTGTCATTTATTTTGCTACCAAATTATAAAAAGATCGCTTTTATAAATGATTTTCAATTTTGATGTGCTAATTGTAACTAAATCAAACTTTACACCGTGTACAGGTATACACACGTGTTATCGTTTGAATGTATGACATAAGTAAACATGGAACTGTAATTAATGTCTAATATATTATAATTAAACCTGTATATACCTTGTAATATATTCTTTAATAAAAGGATGTGAAAAATGCCACGTACCATACAAACATATACCTTCTCTCGGCCGTTATTATTTTAATGTAAATTTCTACATTCATATAAATTTTAACCCTGAGTTTCTAATTTTCAATGACAGTGATCAGTTAATAAATGTAGTGATCAAAATATATATAGAATGCAGTTTGTGACTGTGTATATACATGTATACCTTATTTTTTGTGCTGTAGGGAGGGAATAAGGTTTGCAAATAGCTGTCTCAGAAAAATGGCTAATCCACTGATTCCCAAAATCAAGGGCATTCCTACCATCTTTGGTGAGGTCCTTGAGAGAAATGTCACATTTTGTGTGGACACCTCTGGAAGTATGTACAAGAGCATGGATGTCGTAAAAGAACATCTGATTGAAACTTTATTAAAACAGGCCAACAAGTCAACAAACTGCATGTTCAACATTATCGAGTTTAATTCAGACGTTACCCAGTGGTCGGACAAAATGGTGAAGTGTACACCAGAGACTGTGGCTGTTGCTGCCAACTGGGTGAAAAATCTTAGTGCTAAGACTGGAACCAACACCCAGGGGGCGTTGTTGACAGCTCTATCAGACAGTAACTGTGAAGCCGTCTACTTAGTGACCGATGGTCTCCCTGATCAACATCCACAAGACATTTTGGATCAGGTTGGATTATCCGGCCACAACCGCCCAATCCACTGCATATATTTGTGTTCTGAGGATTCTCCAGATGAGATAGCGATAGAATTTTTGGAAGATCTAGCCGTGGAGTCATTTGGATCCTTTCACATAGTCACGCTCACTGTTCACGGATGTGTCGAACGCATCACACCCATCTACCGTGCTGACCACGCTCATGAGAGAATAATTAGAACAATGAATGGAACAATCCACAATTCCACCAAAAACTGTGGAGTATCCACCACCCTGTTGGTGGACCCTGAAGAAAGCCTCCGATTAACCCCACGTGTGTCCATGCTCACCCATCCCCTCCCTGTCTTTGACCCACTATGTTACCCCTATGGGGAAACCTGGAAACACTGGTTTTTCCACCCGTATAGGTATTATTTTCCACATGGATGGAGCAGATACAGACCTGCTAAGGGATGGCTTAAGGCTCAAGACCAGATGTTAAATTCTGTTGAATCTTCCAACGTTTCTCCAGCAGCAGGGGCCCTGCTGATTGGAAAGAGAGTTTTAGCCAGAAGGATTGATGATGGGTATTTTTACATGGGAACAGTTCAGAGTCAGGTAATTTGATTTCATCCTATACTGCAATTTTATTTCTTGTTTTTCTGATATGTGTACTTTTTTTAGTAGCTGAATATAAGGTAGAATATTTACTGTAACTATACATGTGTATTTGAATTTAGATTTCTACATGGTTATAATAATTACTGTTTTCACATAATTAGCAATTATGATAACTAGAATTTCATAATTGATTTTCGATGAATTTGATTAATTAAAAGACATTAAGGTACTTCAATTCAGTTTTTATTATTTTAATTGTTTTGCATGCTGCATAATTATTATGAATTTTAAAAAAAAAAGTGTTATCATATTATTCAAAAACCAGCTAATATCAGTCTTTAATTCAACTAGACTAGTACTCCCAATTTTATCCCCATCGAATTAGGGAAAGTTTGTTTGAACACTTTAGATTATAGACTCAGAACTTCAGAAGTGTAATTTCCACCCAGACTGACTCAAGTACTCAGTGTTAAATGCACTCTGATGTTAGAGCAGGGTTTATTAAAGATTTATGATAAAACCCCTCTACTCCATCGTAAAATCAATTATTTAGTTCCCTCTAGACCTGTTTTATCACAGATAGCGATATTAAAAAGTGGGTATCTTAGGTGAAGCCTATTGTTAGATGGTATATACATTATATGTATCTTAAAATCAGGTTTCAATGTATATATACATGTACATTTATGTTAAAAACTTACACGTCAAATGATATTGACTAAAATTTTATTATAAAGATTAAATAAAAGATAAATGTTTATATCCTTGTAAATTATATCAATATAATTGTTCAACACAATTTATGACTTAATAAGATTATATTAAATTTTCTTATTAATTATGGATCCCCCAATTAAAAAAATTAAAATAATCAATTTTATTTTTCTTCAAATCTTTGAGCATTCATGAAACAAATAAAATCAGAGCTTCAGATAATAAAACAGTGTATCGATCATTTCAGAATTTATGCGATATGCATTAAAAAAACCCACATCAAAATGCATGATCTCATTGAGAAATTTGCTCTAATAGTGAAGGTTTACCCAGAAATTATACAACAGTGAGCATGGTATCACATACTATTTCATTGATTTCCGTTAATGTAATTATTACATAGGAAAATGAGAAGTAGTCTGAATACACTTCTGACAAGAGCTGACAGATATCAATTTAGTTAATTAAAATCTTTTCAATTTAATTAACTACTGTAACATTGTACAACTGAATACTCATGGTAAATAATTTTTGTATACGTGTAATTTCTGTGAAATTGTTCTGTGTGCAACCTGTAATTCATTTAAATCCAATACCTACCTGCTAGATTATTTGGATTATTAACAAAACCACAATTGTGGTTAAATATAAGCCAGATTGTTTTGTTATGATTGTTATGATAGTAGGAAATTAAATAGAAAAGTAAGCCAGTGTGCTGGAATGAATAGTATTGCTAAATACACTCAAGTTAATCGAGAACTTTACTCTTAAAATGTTAATTGATACATGTAATATTCAAAACTAATTTTGAGGCAGAATAGGCATAGCTTAGACATATGGCTAACCAGGCTCTTTAGACATGAAACCCAAAAGCATATATGAGTTGTGGAAAAGTTGTCTGGGTTCTGCTAGTATAATTTGTTTGATTGCCTTACATTAAAAAAAATGTAATAAAAAAGTTATAGAATTTCCCTTTAATGTGTATTCATTTGTAGAAATATTTCTTGGCTATTTTTTGTAGGAGAGTGGTGTAGATGTAAGTTCTCAGTACAGAGACACACAAACAATGGCTGTTGGGTTCTTTCTTTCTCAGTAGTCTCCCTTTATGCTAGATTCTTCTATTATAAATTAAAATTCATAATCATAAAACGGGGTATGGAATATGATGTGCATGTTTATAACTTATTATGACTTTCATTTATTTAATTTTCTTAATTATACACAAAGATAAATCAGTGAGGTAGTGAACATTTAATATTATTTGTCTGTAGAATTTGCTCAACTATGATGTCGATCTATAGGTATGCCAGTTTTAGCTCACTTGTAAACTAAATTACTTAAAGTCTAATAAAAATTTATTTCACACAGACATACCTGCACTCTACCTGACAATATATTATTATTATTATACTATGCTCTATTACAAATTTATTTAATTAGAATTTCTTTAGTGCATGATCATGTAATTAAAACACATGACTACATGTATATATATAGATATTTTATATTTAATATTGTTTTTAACAACATATATTTTATAATAGCTGTGCATCACTTGTATAGAGGTCATGTTTATGATTAAGTATGAATAATGAAATCAGAGAGATTTTTTAAAAAACCCTTTTTGTCTGTCTCTTTGCAAGATATCTCTCAGAGTTTTGAACAAAGCATGTAAACATAACGAATTACTAATTTGTTATAACAAATTGATAATTTGTAAAAACAAATTAAAAAAAGATATTGCTGTGGCCCAAATACGCTTCCGTAACATTGGAATTAACCCAACGCAAGAAGAGCTTAAAATTTCTTATTTTATATTTCAGATTTTGTCAGATAAATTCCTGGTTGCATTTGGTCCGTGCAAGCACGGGAAATACACAGACACAAAATACCAAGATACGTTTATATTTGACATCATCGATTATGAGGACGCAAAACGACATGCCATTCAGACTGGGGACAAGGTGCTGGCTACCTGGGAGCCTGAGGGGGAGAGGTTCTGCCCAGGGGTGGTCATTGAGGGGCAGGAGAGAAGACAGGTGGATGGTAAGGGGATATTTTAAACATTTTTCCCACTTTCTTGACACATTGTAAATGTGATGCATTTTACCCTTGTACAATATATAATTATATAGACATTTACTAGCAATGTAAATCTCTCTCATAGACAACAAATTTATAAATTCAGTCTTGCCTCTCTCCTCTTCCTTTCTCCTCTCTTCTCTCTTTTTTCTCCCTCTCCTATCTCTCTCTCTCCTTTCTCTCTCTTTCCTTTCACTCTCTCTCTCTCTCTCTTTCCTCTCATTCTCCCTCTCTTTCCTCTATCCTTTCTCTTTCTCCTCTCTTTTCTCTCTCTTTCTCATGTCTCTCTCAAGACAAGGTGTTAATTAAATAGAATACATAGCCAATGTTAGAATATATAATTTAATAGTATTTCTCTCATGGACAACAGATTCATAAATTCAGACTCTCTCTCTCTCTCTTTCTCACCTCTCTGTTTCCTCTTTACTTTCTGTCTCCTCTCTCTCTCCTCACTCTCTTTTCTCTATCTCTCTTCCCTCTCTTTCTATCTCTGTTCTCTCATTTTCTCTCTCTCTAAGACTGGGGCTTCAATTCTCATACTCTTTACAAGATTTTAAAGTCTAGCTGTTAACTTTAATTAGGCACAAAATGTTTTCAAAGTCCAGCTACACCACGTCTGATAAACAGATAACTATATAACCACTTGTATGTGACAAAGATCGAGAGAGAAAGAATTATTGATCTTTTTAAAGTTTGTAAAATTGTACCATTAGAGAAAAAAATCACATTGAATGTTTGCCTATAAGTTTTCTTGTCAGGTTGTGTATAGCTGGTTTCATTGGTCAATATTTGCCGACATGTCAGGCATATATTTGTTTAGTAAGCTGTATGCAATCAATGTCGAACTGTTTTTAACGACATCTTTAAAACATCAGCTTGGTAACGCCCATTTTTGGGGACCTACAAGAATAAAAGTCTTTGATTCCTATCTTCCTGTTAATTTTTTTTTTTTAACAAACTGCATAAACTTGTCTCCTTTGTCTCTCAAAGTTCTGGGCAAAATTTAATTTTCTGAAAAATATACATTAATTTTATATAAAAGGATATTGTCTCCCTCCAACTCATCATGGTAGCATTCACAGCCATTACCAAAGAACATAATAAAATCTTTGATCCACCCCTGCATTGCAATTTATGTCACTATATAATTTATTGAATTAAGGAGCATAGAATTTGAGAGTCGTGATAAAAAATCTATTAATTGTGTTCTAAAAAATCTCACTATTAAAAGCTGAGATGAAAGAAATATGTCCTTAATTTATATTTTATTAGTCTATCAATAAAGTTAACCTTGAAAAAAAAGCATGCATGTTTGTATACTTGGAACATTTCTCAGTATAATATTTTTGATGAACTAATTAATCAAGATCTTTCCTTAAAGTTACTGTCAGCATTTTCAGGGCTAACTTATAATTATACAAAAGAGTAGTTCAGAACTGGAAAAAGGGTCTCAAAAAAAGATCTTATCTACATTTAAACATCCAAAATTTCAATGTGCACTGAAGTGCTGACATTATCTGTTAGAAATTTTATTAAATTCCAGAGGTCTGTTGTCAAAGCATGGGTGGGAACTGGAGGGATTCTATTGGAATAATGTTTTTGCTAAGCTCCGCAGACATTTGATTTGTGCAGGTGTGCATTTGTGCAAATGGAAGATTGAAAATGCATGTAGTCTGTTTGTTTTAAATTTTAACATTGACAGAAACGAGACCTTATTTTTTCATTCCTCTATTTCATTGTAAAGATGGGGTGAACAAAAAGTATATACACTGTATGTAAAATTAAATCATGTTCAAAAGGATCTACATGTTAAATTTAAATTAAAATTATCTTTAAGCTAAGCTTCTTTATATAATAAAAAATAATAGACCACTTTTTAATATGTGGTACTGTAAAAAAAGAAAACCCATGAATTAGTGAGCTCAGAATCAAGCAAAACATTCCACTTCAACTGATTAGTATTACATGTAGTAATGAATTAGCACTCACGATCCTTAAAAATGATCTGTATAAATTTTGTTTTAATCCTATATACAGTATACAGGGTTATTTTTGCCCCATGTTATTTTTGCCCTTTCATATTTGCAAACAATTTTGGCCCATTTTAAATTTGCCCAGTCACAGTTCTGTTTAAGAAATTAAACTGTTTCTTTGAATTCACCCCATATTAATTTGCCCACCTGACAGTAGGGTGAAAGGGGGATAAATAAAGTGGGGGTGAAATTTTCTCTGTATACAGTTTTAGCTTGTACTTGAATTAGCATATGTGAGCTAGATCTAGAAGCAGCAAGAAAGGGGCTAGATATTGATTAAAATCAGTATCAGTGTTAGCTAGCACAATGATAAGGATATACAGCGCATACTGCTAAATTTGAAAATTCAGTTATTAATATCTTCTTTTTAAGGGCCTGATGATAGACAAATTACTGTCACCTTTGCAAATGGCAAAACTGAAAAAGTTCCTATGGATGTTGCCATATGGACTCCAGAACAAGTCTATGAACGACTGACATTGGAACTAAAAATGCCAAAGGAAGCTAGGCTCTCCCTTCAGAATCAGGAACCCAATTACCCTAAGGAGAATTTGGATGGTTACCCCACATCTGGACCCAGAGCTGACCCCTCAGAGTACCCTCCACCCCATCCCTTTCATTTCCAGCATGACCCAGTTTTCATGGATTGTTACCCCTGGGGAAATGGTTACATTCCTGTCTATCCCCAACTTCAAAGGCAACCTGATGAAACTATGTTACAAACAAGGTCAACAGTGAAGAGCGAGGATATTAATAAACTTGTACCAGGTATATTTTTAAGAAAGTTTTTAAAAAAATGTTAAGAAAGATATAAATTTTCACTTCCATTACACACACATTCACTCACCCACAACACACTCGCAAGCATGTTACTATATCCCCTCCAACTTTGTTGCAAGGGGATAACAAAAATTTCAAGTTTGTCAGAGGAAAAAAGTAACAAATCTTTGAAAAGGTTCATGTAAATGTTATGATATTGATTATAATTTGTAACATCTAAATCTATCAAAAATTTGAATCAATAAGGATTAAATCAGAGCTAGTCCACATTTATTTTGTTAAAGTCTGAAATTTAAGCACATTTTCTGGACATGCTATTTGATTATTGTTGATTTCATCACTGAACTCAGTTGCAGAATTTTTAGGTTAAGACTATTGATTTGTATCTTTCTTAACCAAATCTTTAACTGTAGTTTTGAATGTTTATCAAGGCACCAGTATCACGCAAAAGGAGCTGAACGACAGAGTTGTATCTCAACTGATGGAACACAAACTCCTCCTGGATGAGAGACAAACAGAGAAAGACAACAAGGAAGTGGAGGAGGAAACAAGGAGGAAAGAGGAAGAGAGGAGGAAAGAGGAAGAGAGGATAGTCAGACAGGAAAAAATGAGAATGATGGAGATGGAGATGAGGAAGAGAGAGCAGGACATGAGGGTCAGAGAGGAAGTGGATAGAAGAAGAGCTGAAGATGAGATGTTAGCACAGAAACTCAGAGATGAATATGAAATGCAGAAGAGGGAAGCAGAGGCAGAATATCAGAGGAAGAAAGAGGAGGAAATTCAAAGAATGAGGGAGGCAGAGGAGTCACTGAGGATAAAACAGGAGCAGGAAGGAAGTGCTATGGAAGAGAGGAAAGTGGAAGAGAGGAAAGTGGAAGAAACATTGAAGAGTGAAGTGGAGCATTTAAATCAAGAGAAGGATATAGAGAGATCGATCCTGGAAGACAGACGCAAAATTTTAGAGAGAGAAAGGGACAAGCATAGAATGAGACTGGAAGAAATTGAGCGAGAGATTGAGGAAGAGAGGGTGAGGCTTCTGAGGAAGAGAGACAAACAGGAGGAAAATATGTTAAGGAAGTCTGTCACTTTTGAGGACCAGCTTAATGAACATGATCTTGAAGTGGATAATGAGAGAAGGGTGTTAAATGGGTCAAGGCCTCTTTCTGATGATGAAGGTTAGTGATTTGTGAAAAATGTATCCAACTCACTTAGATTTATTTGAATTTAAACTACCGATATTTCAATTTTTATTTGTACTGGTGAAATAGTATTTAATTTTACTATTAGTTTTATAGAATTTAGTAGTAAAAGTGTATGAAATTATATCCTGGTTAAATAAATCATTCAAAATTGTTTAACCTCTGTACCATGTGCAACCATCATCACATTTCTATATCCATATTGCATCTTTCCTTGTAGAAAAATACAGGGAGGATTTTAATTTTGACAAATTTGTGAATGAGAAAGGATATAGATGCCACCATTCAGCCTTTGCACCACCTAGAAAATTAGTCAACTTCATGAGGCGGCGCCCACGTTCAGCAGAGTCCCACAGGCCAGAGTGGAAAAAATACTGGTCAACAAATAGCATCCCAGACATAATAGACCCACCCAACCATGGAGCGTTCCGGGACACCGCACTTCAGGCCCCGCTAGAGGCCAGGGACCTCCGCAGATATCCTTATGCTTGTAAGTCTCCCCCAGCATCAGCTGTTTACAGATGTGACATATAATTTAGAATTTAGAATAATTTAAAATAAATGCTGTATGATTTTTACCTTTCAAGGTATATATTTTAATCTGCTTGATTATTACAGTACTGTTTCTTTTGTAATTGTGTTTATTACAAAACAGCATTTTTAGCATTTCTAAGTAAATGGTGAAGGAAAAGGAATTAGGAAACATGTACATGTATCCCTATCATATGATAATTATGTACATAGTAAGATATTGAAAATCTGGAAAGGTATATGTGCTTATTTTTTTTCCCATCATTTTAAAAAAGGAAGTGATTCAGTGGAAGTCGGAAATAATCTATGCTTCACAAATATTTCACAAAAAATAAGTGTCCTATATGTATGATGAAGAAGCTTACACTGGAAAGTTGATTTAACACTGTAATTTTTTTTTCAATGAAAATTTTATCTAGGTGAGTGGACCTCTCCAGTATATAAATATGTAGATCCATACGCCAAGAGTAAGTGTACATCTACAGTGGAACAATTAATGCGGACCCCCAAACCTCCAGAAGGAGGGTACCAGCCGGCCCCTCCCTTGGACATTAGAGTGACTAGACCCATGTCTGCTGATGCAAAGGAGGCTGCAAGAAGAGAATACAGGTATAATTGTCTCTTCATGTTTATATATTTCATGTTTAAACGTGACACTTTCTGGCTCCTAGGGGGGGGGGGGGGTATTGGCAGATGGAGTGGGGTGGGTGTAGTGGCAGGGGGAGGAGGAATTATACATTTACAGGCCTAAATATAGCCACACTTTAAAATCCAGGTTTAAAGCTTGAGCAATAAGAAATTTCTTGCTTCATATTTTAAAAAGAAAAAAACCCACCCAGAATTCTAGAATAATTGAGCAGAAATCAATTTGATAAATTTAATACATAAAATTTTAGTTGAGGTAGGTGTAAGTTTACAAGAAAATGTGTAATACATACTGTACATGTATATGTACAGGTTAATGACACTAAATGCAAGGGAATTTGTGTTTAAGTAATAATTAATGTTTGTTTATTTACAACAGAAGGGTAAAAGTAGCTCAAAGAAACCACAAATGGAACGAGCGCCTCCGCAATGAACAATTAATGAAGGAAATCATGCAAGATAACCATAGGGAACGGGTCTTAGCTCAAATGGAGCGTGACCGTCAACGACTTAAAAAAGAAAAGGAAACAGTTGAACAAGCTCAAAAGGCAAAGAGATATGTTTCAGCAGAACTTAGGGCTAAGATGGAGAAACGAGAACTCGAAAACAAGAAAAGGGAGCAGAACCGAATTGAGGCAATGCGTCAGAGGAGGGAACAAAGGGAGGCAGCAACCGCCGAGAAACAGGCCGAGGAGGAGAAAATCGCAGAAATGAGAAAGGTGGGGTGGATCTAAGATTTTCATCATTTATGTAATGCAGAATGTAGAATTATAGAATACATGTAGTTCACTTTTTTTTTCAAAGAATGATCAAATAGGAATACATGTATTTGCACAAATAGAGCATTGTGTATAGAATATTCCTGGTTGGGTAAATGATTCAATAAAGTGGAGTGGCTGTATAGTATTAGCACACAGTCACTTCATTCGATACCTCCTTTTCCATAACTGAAAAAAAATTACATGACTGCATAGGACGGGTGACTGCTGAATAAGGGTGACCGCTGTGTCAAGTTTGACTGGCATGTATTAATTTTGTGGTTACAGAAATGGCCAGATAGTTACAGAAATGGCCAAGAAGTCATGATTTAAAAAAACCCAGAATTCAAATATCCCAAAATTGAAGTCATTTGAAGAGGAAATTGATTTAATAATTGACGGAAAAAACAATAAATTTTTTTTTTCTTCTACAGGAAGCTAGAATACAGAGGTCCCAGCAGCGCTGGGATAACGTCCACAGTAGACTGCAGCAAGAGGAGGCAGAGAACCAGGCACAAGGGGAGAGAATTCGCAATGCAAAAATCAACCGGATCGAACACTTCCAGAAGTTAGAGGCCGAGGGACAACAACGAAAGGATGTCCGGATTAAAGTGTCCGACCAGCATCTGGCATTACTAAGGTCGCAGGTACTGCCGTGAGAGGGCCATGTGATTAACTAGGACATTGGAGCTTAATTAGAAAATTTAAAATATAAATCATTGTCTTTTAGATTAAATTTGAAGTAATCAGAATCCATTGTAAACTGTTTCCTAAAAATTCTATAAAAAATTTTACTTGAAAAAAAATAAGTAGTACTGTATGTACATGTATGTGTTTTTAGTGATTTTAAAAAATAAAATTGTGTACATCACTTTTATGTATGTACTAAGCTTTGCATGATTAAGTGTTATAAGCAGAAAAAAGCAAACTGGTTGATTTTAAAACTTTTATAATACAAATACATTTTGTAATCAAATGTTTACTTAAAGTAAAATTTTAAATTTCTGTAAGACTTAAAATTTTCACATACATCAAAAGAATGAAATTAAATTCGACATACTTTGTTTTATTATGTGACAGTTGAGAAAATGTTAAAGTTTCATGTATTGTCTAATCTAGAATTTTGATAGATTTTTTTTTTTTTTTTTACTATAATTTATGTTATGTGATGAAAAAAATAATATCATCATGGATTGCTTCATGGAATCGCATATTAAAATGAATTAAACAGAAAATGGTATTAATAAATTCTGTATCAAGTTGTTTCAATTGACAATTTTTAATGTGCATATTGAAATACTAAGAATTATCAAGTAATTTTTAATACAGCAGCAAACAGCAAAACATATTATTTTGGTTGACTTTATAAATTAATGTTTAACATTTCCTTAAGTTTGCAAAAGTTTTCTTGCAATAAACATGGCATTATTCTCACTTGAAAAAAGAGTAGTCACTGTGTTTCTGTATTGGGTTTTATATTGAAAGATTTAGTATGTGAATTTCACCTTCACTGAATTACACAATCTAATTTTTGTTTTTGTTTAGTCGTGGTGTCAATTTCACATTAAAATTTTAATTTTGAATATTTATAAATATTGGTAAGCTAAACAATGCTTCTAGATTTAGATGTGCTGATAAACGCAGGATTTTTTTTTCAAAGGGTTGTACATGTAGAATAATGGAGTAGTCAATGGTTTATATTATAAAAATTATTACTACATATTTTTTAAAAAATGTACAATGTAGATCAGTTGTTTTGAAATATTTGCAATGAGCTAGTCTATAGGTAATGAATTCAATTCATGTGTCTCTTTTTATATAGACAGATATTAATTCAACTCATTTTTTAGACTTAATTTATCATCAATTTTTCTCAATTCATCACTACTGCTCTGTTTTAATTAATCATAATATTTTGCAAAGATAAGAAATTAAAATTATGTTAACAAATAGCTAGCAGCTGAATAATCTAATTTTTTTATGATTTTGTTTCCCCTATATTTAAAAAAAGAAGAATATACTTCAGAACTCAGAATGGATTGGGTTAGCATTTAAAGGGGAATAACTTTTATTCAGAAACTTCATTTCTATCAGTGGATTGGTTTCATTTATCTTTAATAGGGTAGTATTAAATTACTGTAATAAATTTTCAGTATTATTGTACATATTATCTGAATTACTATTTTTTGCGCAAGCTTTAATAACAAAATGTCAATTGCATATTGTTTGTTAGGCAGAGATGTATAAAAATCAAGTATTGAATTAACAGTATAGATTTCTCCTTTGGTAAGAGGGTTAGAAATGCAAGCCAATTTGTATATTCCATTAGCATTTATATGATAAAGTTAAAGGTTAATTTTTTTTTTTTGAAATGTTCCTTTTTCTCTCCTGGGTAAAAGAGACCACTGTTTCATGATTTTCCTATTCTTTGTTTAATAATTAAGGGAAAAATCAAGATATGTTTAAACATATACATGATACCTGATATTCTTGATATTTTTTTCTTGAAAATATATGAGTTTATTGTATGCGTATAAGAAATAGGGATTGTTTACCGAAATATACAATATTTGTATTTTTCTTAACAACATTTATTATCATGCAGCCTTGTACATTAATTATGAAAAACAATTTTAAGCATTGCTTTTTCCCGTTTTTCACCTTTGTTTGTTTGTCTGTCAGTAGGCATTGTGTTCTGTTAAGACTGTGATAATCCATAATATATCTTTTGTTGTTGAATCTGTTTTAGTCAGGAGAAAGTCATGTAGTTTTTGTTTGCAATGAAACATATTAATATTTTGCTTTCATTAGTTGTTCAGAAGGAGATGAATAAAGTCATAAGGTAGAAATATGTTTGTTGTTGTTGTTGCGCAGTCAATTTATCACCTATTTAAACATCAAACTAATTGCAGTAGAAATCTTTTTGCTATTAGTCTAAAACTCGATCTTGAATGCATATTAAGTAAATGTGTAGATGAAAAAATCTAAATAAAATTGGACAAGAGGAAAGCATTTTTTTAATCAGATTCCTCAATGAAAATTACATTAGAAAAGGGGCATAACTCTTGTCATTGTAATTTTAGGTTAAAATTTTATTGCACTTTTCTACCTCGAGAAAAGAGGAAGTGAGTTAGGCTGTGTATACCTGGCCAAAAAAAATATAACAGATGTCTATGGGTCCATTTTAGAGTATACATTGCATCTCTTCACCTTGCAATACAGGTAATAAATTTTTAGGATAGGGTCAAGTTTTGTCTCTAAATCTTAATGTGTAGTTGTTTTCATTAATAATTATAATACTTATTATTTATGAATTAAATGAAATGATCATTGCATACTTAATAATAATTGAAGGAAATATTTATGTTTTTTATGCCCCCGTATCAAAGATTGGGAGGTATATAGTTTTTGCCCTGTCCATCCATCTGTCCGTCTGTTTGTCCACAAAAACCTTAACCTTGCCCATAACTTTTGATTGGTTGGAGCTATGACTTTCATATTTCACACGTAAATTTCTTGTGACAAGACCTTTCTTTGGGTACCATCACATTTGACCTTGACCTTGGAGTTTGACCCACTTTTGTAAAATTTGTTGAGACTTTAACCTTGGTCATAACTTTGGAACAATGGGTGCTTGGGGTTTCAAACTTCACATGTGTATTCCTTGTGACAAGACCTCCCTTTGCACACCAACAACTTTGACATTTTGACCTTGACCTTGGAGTTTGATCTACTTTTGAAAAACTTTAACCATGGTTATAACTTTTGAACGGTCGGAGCTAGGTCTTTCATATTTTACATGTCTATTTCTTGTGTCAAGACCTTCCTTTGGATACCAATCACTTTGACCCTTTAACCTTGATCTAGGAGTTTGACCTACTTTCGAAAACCTTGGCCGTAACTTTTGAATGGTTGGTGTTAAGGCTTTCATACTTCACATATGTAATCCTTGTGACAAGGCCTTCCTTTGGATACCGACCACTTTGACCCTCTGACTTTGACCTACTTTCGAAAAACTTTAACCTTGGCCATAACTTTTGAATGGTTGGTGCTAGGCCTTTCATACTTCACATATGTAAACTTTCCTTTTGTTGACAACTTTAACCCTTTGACCTTGACCTTGGAGTTTGACCTACTTTTGAAAAACTTTAATCTTGGCCATACCTTTTAAATGTTTGGTGCTACGGCTTTCATACTTCTCATGTGCATTCCTTGGGTCAAGACTTTTCTTTGGATACCAAAAATTTTGGCATTGAACTTGACCTTGGAGTTTGACCTACTTTTCAAAAACTTTAACCTTGGCCATAACATGGGAACATTTGGTTCTAGGGCTTTCATGTTTCACGAACATGTGTATCAGTTTTGACAAGAACTTCCCTTGGGGTCCCATTTGACCTTGACGTTTTACTTTCTTTTAAAAAACTTCCACCTTCAACATATCTTTTGAGCAGTTGGAGCTAGGGCTTTCAAATTTCACAGGTATATTCCTCGAGACAAGACCTTTCTTTTGGTACCAACATTTTTGATCTCTTGACCTGGAGTTTGACTTGCATTTGAGAAACCTTAACCTTTGCCATAAGCTGCCATACGGGGGCATCAGTGTTTCACAAACACATCTTTTTTTTTTTTTTAAATTCTTCTCTAAACTCTGTATTCACTCTCTATCAAAAAATGCTAACATTTCCAAAATTACATTTTTTCTTTTCTTTTTTAAGCAGGTGTTAAATATCTTTTTTTTTCTTGTCAGTCAACAAAATAATGATATCAATTTAACTGATTCTTACATTTTTGTACTTTTACAATATAATTATATGCTTACTATTAACTTTAAATAATGTTATTCCAAACTTTTATAATGAGTTAATTCATAAAATACTTTCTAAAAGGAAATATATTGCATTTCTATACTTCAATTTACCAATGGAAAAATAGAAAATCGAGCCATTTCCCTTTTCAATGTCGGTAAAATTGATCAATCTGGCAGTGTTTGACCTGATGTGGCAGTACCTGAGAAACTATAGATTAATTATTTTTGGCCCAAACTACAATACACATTTTTCCTGCATACATGTCCAGTCAAAATGAACTTTGTTTTATCAGCTTTCCAGAACATTTAATGTTTGCAATGTAAAAGTTATTTAACTCACAGATAAGCTTACAACCTTGCAGAAACAGAAAAAAGTTCACATCTGAAATTTATGACTACCTTTTTAATATTATAATGTTAACTAAACTACAGTCAAATCTTGCTATCTCAAACTTGATGGAACCAAGAAAAAAACTTCAAAATTTCCAAGGATTCCAGACATACAAGTTAAAACAGAGAGTAATGGTTGGGACTTCCAAATAAGTTCCACATATCCATGGTATTTGAGATATCAGTGTTTGAGTTACCGAAGTTCAACTGTATATGTGCAATAGACATGAAGATGAATTCTGATGATCCTTGACTTAAAAGCATATGCAAATTGTAGTTCGAATATAAGGAAAAAAAATACCACATGGCTTAACCCCAAAAAAATTCCCTGTTAGATCGATACTTTTGACTTGATGCTGCATTAATTATAAATAAGGAGCACAGAGATTTTAGCCAACTTGAATGCTCTTGTAGGAGTATCGCCAGGGATGTTTACACAGATGGATATTTTAAGTCCAGCCAGTAAATACCAGCATCATAAAGTCCAGTAGCAAATTAAGAAGGGATTTCATCAAAAGTCAATGAATGTTTTGATAATCAATTTAATATAATGATCATGTATTTAACAATAAAACAAAACTAAAAACTACAAAAAACTTAATAATTTGCTTAAAAATGTTCCAACTAAAACAATTGTACCCCTAACAAGTACATACAGTTTGAATCCAATATTATATTACTTAAAAAAAAGATTTCTTGATTGAGTTTTTGAACAGGATATACCGGTATATAATTAAGCACAACTATACGTACAATCTAAAAATCCTTACAAGTGATATTACTTTTATCAAATAATGTACCGAAAATACTGTAGATCACCAAATTTTCCTGACACTTTAATTTCGCAAGATTGCCATTTTGTATTTATAAGCAAGACATAATTTTCACGATCTCAGGTTATTGTTGTATATAATCTTTTGTAATTATTTATACAAATTTATGTGAGAATTAAATTTTTCGAGTAAACAGTCTTGCGTAATTACGTGAAAATAAAGAAATAATAAGTGATCTACAGTAGAAGAGATAATACAGTAAATGAAAGAATACCCACATATTAACACTTCTCGTATTAAACAACCCCCCCCCCCCCCCAAAAAAAGGAAGAAAAATGTAGAGCTGAAGTACTGCACAAATTTCTTTTAAAAGATAACACACTCATAAAAAAAAAAGAAGGTTGATTAACATTACTGTTTATTTTAAATCAACTTATTTAAAAATTGAAAAAAAGAATCAATATCTGGCTTTTTTCTTTTGGAAGGATTAAGGAGGGGGAGGAATTGGAATTCAAAAATGTCATAACCATAATGCCCTCTCTATAAAATTAATATTTATCACTCCCCAGTAAAATGCTACATGTATTGGCTGATGACCAATTCTCAAATAATTGAGAATTTCTTCCACAGGAATGATAAAATTTGCTCATACAACCATATCAATCTAATTTTTTACAAAAAAGCATTATGCCAGTTTTATTGTAAATATTTCATGAGATTTCATATGCAATAGGCAATACTTTCCAAATAATGCCATTGCGTTAATGGAGCATACTGTATATTAATTAACAAAAACCATTTTACAATTTGCTATTTTTCAGCTTGTAGATTTCAAAGTATTATAGATATAAGCAAGAAAATTGTCCAAAATTTAAAGTACACCATTGTACCTTTTCATGTTTCTGATGAAAAAAAAGTCTGAAATTTGTGCAACTAATACACAGTGTGTTGGACTATATTAGAATATTTGTCACCAACCATCGCTGCAAACCACAAACAAAACAAAAAGTAAAATTGTTCAAAATAAAACATACAGTACATGTACTTACTATTCTATGACACAGTGATTTGTATACAAGTAAAACATTTGAAGAACAATTAAGTTACATTGTTGAACAAAATAAAATTTCAAGAATACATGTTTCTTCTATTGTAAAAAAAAATATCAATCTGATTGAACACATTTGTGGTTTAATTTACAAGTAGATTGAAGAGCTAACAATTCTGAAAAAAATCAGTTTACAGTATCAAAATCATACTAATTTTAAGACACATGTATCTCTGAAACATATATGATGCAATCATATACTTTGTACATGTAAGGAAAATCAAAAGGACTTTATACAATGGCCACAGAAAACAATCAAATATATCAAGATATTATGGCAATACTGTATGGAGGGTTATTTTCACCCTTTCATGCTTGAAATTAATTTTACGCACTTTTCAATTTGCCCAAACAAAGTAATACGAAAGAGATACTGCTGTTTTTTTTGCCTGGGCGTTTTAAATTTGGCCTCAAGCAAAGAGGGAAAAAGGGGCAAAAAATATAAAATGGGGGCGAAAAATTTCCCATAAACAGTACTCAGATAATACTTCGATGATTATATTCAGATACTATTCAGATAATAATCAGATATAATTTGGATAATAATAACAAAATAGTGAGATCATTATTTTTTGGATAATGAACAGATACTATTCAGATAATAATCACTACAGATATTATTTGGATAATAATAACATAATGATCAGATAATTATTTTTAGATAATGATCAGACACTATTTGGATAATAATCAGATTTTTTTAAAAACAGAATTCAAAAAATAATTACAAAATCCAATTATATTCTTATAAGTTTCAGATAATGCTCACATTTATATCTAATCTTAATGGTCACTTTTCAATACAGCTTGCACTTTTGATTCAAATGTTAGTTACTTTTATACATGTCACTGAAATAACTAGTGCTAATTGTAACGGGAACCGCTACAGATGTTCCCCAAACGGCTCCCCAATCCCTTATGATGCCCCATTCCCTACAAGCTTCAATAAATTAGACAATACTTTTGTAATATAGATGGACACTTTATTTTTAAGGGTATTTCATTGGAAAACTACTCCGATATAGCCATATGGGTATTAGCCAATCAAATTTCAGCGCATGTTCTTGCACATGTTTTCTACATTTTTCACATAAATTTTCTTATAGAGTCTCACAATACATACATTTGTGTTAAATATTAAAGAATCTCATTGAAAAATAAGAGAGATGTAACCCTTTAAGTATTAGCCAATCAAAATTCAGCATACACGCATGCATGGCTTTGCATTTAATTTTGATAGTATCATAATGTAGGAGCTCTATGTGCCTATCCATGTCGTAAATTTCATCCAGTTTTGTTTAAAACCAAGGGAGTTAAAGACATTTAAAGTTTCAACCAATCAGATTGCAGCACACCTGCATGCGCATGATTTCAAGAAATTTCCTATATAACATGTTGTAGCACCTTATAATATATACTTATATTCTAAATTTCAAAGTATATTGTCAAAAAACAAGGAAATTATTGAGATTTTTGTATCAGCCAATCAGAGAAGAGCGCACGTGCATGCGCGTGAGTTCACGATAATTTGACCATGTAATCTTGTCTAGACTTCTAATATATCTTTATATTTTGAGTTTCAAAGCAATTCATCAAGAAATATAAAAGTTACGGCTTCATCAAGTATATCAGTCATTTCACTCATTGCACGCGCGCGCACGTGCATGCATGTGCACGCAAAATGACCTTCGTTCCGAACACCTACACAACATGCCTATTAACCCTCAAAAGGTTTCATGTCAATCGGATGAGTGGTTCTATGAGAACACTCCCGGACAAAAAAGTACCGGAGAAGAAAGTAGAAATAAGAATAATAATAATAATAATAATAATAATAATAAGAAACAGAGTAAAAACAATATGTTCCCAAACTTCGTTTGGGGAACATAATTATCCACAAAAACAGTATCTCAGAATAATTGATAATTAAATCACAGTACATAATTAACAAATAAATGGTGCAAAATTTGTTCAGGAAAGATTACACTTTGAGTTTACAGTAATTTGCTTTTGCCTGTTCTTAGAATTTTCACCCATTGTAAATCAGTTATTCCTCCTGGTTTTGGAAAATTAAGAATGAAATTCTTAAAACAAGAAATCTATTGATAGTTGTTCATATTGTCATTTCTCATGATTGAATAAAAGAAAAATAATTATTCTCTGAAATGTGTGTAACAATTTTGATACAATGCTTAATAAAAAAAAAAAACATACAAAATTCAAAACTTATTGAACAATGAAGGTTTTAAATTCAAACTGAACTCACGCATCTACAGAAATCTATGAAAACAAAATAATATGATGTAAAAATTATATGTTTATACAAATTATAACCTATACAGGTAAATGATAACCACAAAAAAAAATGCCAATAACAAAACCATCTAATACAGCTCTATCCAGATTTATCACATTTCTCTCATCCCTCCCCCCTTTTATTTGAAATATTCATATTTTTCCTTTATTCTTCCAGAATCTTAACCACACAACACATTTTGTTTCTAACTGTACAAGCCAATCTTCCCTAGCTCTCACATCTCTTAGAATTACCCTTCTCACTTGGTGTTGCCCACATTCATGTACAACTATTTCAAAACACTTGTGTATCTCTAATGAAATAATTTGAAGGTCACAAGAAATCCAGAATTATACATCAATATATTTAATCATCTATTATGATAATTGCCTCAGCCTCTTTTTGGTTTTTTAGCTCCACCTCTTCCCCTTCAGTCTCCACGCTCTCTTGCTTAACAGTTGTCATGGTTTCTGGGGAAATAATTTCCAAACTGCTATCATCACTTTCTACATTCTCTACAATGCCACGGACATTCAACTCTGAACTCTCTGGATTGTCCATCTGGTTGGATGTATCAGGACTGGCTCTGTTGACGCGATCTGATGTAGGGGCTCCAGAATTCCCTAATGACTCTCCCTGATCAATGATTGGTTTTACATCTATGCTTTCTTCTAATGAAATATTTTTTCTCCCAGATATAGTTAAAACTTGGTTTGCATTGGAGAATAATATCTTACAATCGACAGCTTCTCCCTGGGAATCTCGCAAGTTTGACAAATGACTGATAAGTAAACGCAGGGTTTCCTCTGTGCTTGACTTTTGTGGGTTACTAGATGAACCAGATGGCCTCTCAGCATTGGAAGAGTTATCCCCCTTCTCTACATTGGAAGAGCTATTTCCCCTCTCAGCAGTAGAAGACTTATTTCCCTTTTCTAGGTTAGTGGAGTTATTTACCTTCTCTATGATGGAGGAGTTAGTTCCCCTCTCTATACTGGAAGAGTTATCCCCGATCTCTACATATGAAGAGCTGCATGTATTTTCCCTCTCTGTAATGGAGGAGTTATTCCCCCTTTCTAGGTTCATGGAGTTATTCCCCCTCTCTATATTGGAGGAGTTATTCCCCCTCTCTGCATTGGATGAATCATTTTCCCTCTCTTCTCCACTACTCTGAGTGACAGTGTTTTCTAAGATTAGGGATGCTGAGGAAATATCTCCTTCCTCACCCTCATAAGCTTCCATATCTCCTGCATTATTGTCCTCATCATTGGTCCTCATGTCCTCTCCCTCTAAGTTTTCAATATGAACCTCTGGAGGGGGAAATTCTTCACTACTACCATCCTCCTCACCTAACAAAGGAGACGTGGGTGTTGAACCTTCCCCCATTTCTGCTTCATTCTGCATCCCTGTCATATCTTCATCCTCTTCCAGTCCTCCATTTTTATTCACATTATCTTTTAATTTTTCTACATCATCTTTCCACATCACCATTTGAATCTTTGCTTTTTTTCTGACAGGTTTATCACTCAACTCATTTCCCTCCTTGTTGATGGTTCTCTTTAATTTGCTCACATTTCCTGAGCAAGAAGTTCTCCCTTCTGAGTTGTTCTGACTTGCTTGAGGATCTCCATGTTTCGCTTCCGTCTGCCTGCAATCAGCTGATGGTACAATATTTAGTGGGCCCTCTTCTTTCTGTGAAGATGGTTTTACTGCATCACTCAACTTCATTAATGGAACCCTTACTTGTGGAAAGAGTGCACTAGAAGATTTAAGAGTTCTCCTTTTCTCTACAGCATCCTCCTCTTCTGATTCCCCTTCAGTCCCCGAGCTGGGTGAGCTTTCTTGCAGTCTTGATGTTGATGGTGTTGCCTTTTTGATTTTTTGCTGTGACTTTGACTTTTCCTTCCCTGGATTTTGATTATCAGTTGACTCAAGTCCACTCTTTGATTGTCTATTTTCCTTTGATTTTCTGGTGTTGGTGGAAGACCTATCATTTTCTTCCTCATTGTCCTCAGAATCACTTTCACTTTGGACATTCTGTCTTCTGTTGAAAAAGAATTTCTTTCCTGAGGAGAAAGTCCTACCTTTGAACAAAACACTAAATCCTCTTGAAGACCCTGTTTGCTGAGTTAAACTTTTTGATGATTCAGATTGCTGAGGTAAGCTCTTTGCTGAACCAGAATGTTGACCAGAAACCCTATTTTCCTTTTTTGTTTTTGATGTCACTTTTGCTGGCTCCTTGCTTTCCCGATTTTTGGGAGGAATGTATGGCATATACTTGGGTTTGTTTCTGAGACGAGTGTTGCGGATAATTGAACTCTTTTCTAAGCCATACATAGCTTTTTTGATTGGTACATTGGTATCGTCATCTGAACTTGCGTCAGCCTCTGTTTCCCTAACAGCAGTCTTTGGTATAGCCTTCGGTTTGCTTCTCGGGCTGGATCTTATTTTCTTCCGCCAGGGTCTCACTGAAGATAGAAAGAAAAAACATGTAGAAGATCTGAAATGTTATGTAAGCATTAAAACATGAGTTGTATGTAAACATTAAAACATGATTTTATCATGCAACACAATGGATCCTCAGCCAAAGAAATATACTGTACATGTACATAAATTGGCGTACTCAAAATTTAGCGCAATCACTGGGTATAAAGTTATTGGCGTATTTATGAATTAGCGCTACACACTTCCGCACCGTATATTATATTTACAAATGAGATCTTAGCGGTATTCATGAATTAGTGCATCATTGTCCACACCAAAGCCGTTAAAATATGAAGCCCGCTTTTTTTAAGTACACATACAGTATCTCTTGGTTAGGTTATAAATACATGCAGTTGATCTTTGAAATCTTTATATGACTTTGACCCAATAAATTAAATGTCTTTACCTCTAACATGACATGTGCCACATTTATACATATTTCTAATAACGGCATACAAATGAGTTAATTATGATAGAAAATGCCTTCCGCAAATCTTAAAACTTTTATATATATACAAGTTAACAGAAATATTACCAGAATTCGGGGTGTTGGATTTTCCGTAGGATTTCATTTCTAGACTCCTTAACCATACGATCAGTTTGGCGAACTCCTGTCGTCTCATACAGACCCGAGCTAAGACTTCCTCAATGGCTGACCTCGCATCAGCAAGCACTGAAGGAAAATAGAATTCAGTTATAAACAATAGTTAAAAAATGTAATATATCAATTGGAACAAGAAAGGTTTTTGAAGCATATTTAATATATACACTCATGTGTATGACACTTGTATGGTAATTTTAATGATACTGAAAAAATGTCATCTATTTAATCAGAGGCAAACATAACATTATTTTACTATGTTTAAAATGGTTTGACTTTTACTTTTAACCTTGTGACCTCAAAGTCAATAGGGGTATTTTACTCTCTGAGGAACAAGAATGCCCAGTTTGATGTCTGTGAAGGTCTGTTTAGTCATTCAGTGTTGTCATGTTGATGCCGAGTATGATTTTAACTTTTAAGGTTAAGGCATGTCCTTGGAACTATCTATTAATGGTAAGTATGTTTTATGTGAATTCTTTTACATGTATAACTATTTCATTCTTAATATTTAAAATGCCTGTCCATTTAACAGCTACTCATGATACAGGTGCTTGAGAATTGTATGATGATTTTTTATCACTCAAGTGTCTTGACTACTTCATTTTCTTAGTAATAGTTGGAAATTCCAAAATCAAAAATTCCAAACTTTATCTTTAAATCTTAGTGGTTTAAAAGTTGTAAAAATTACTGGTAAATCATAAGCCTTTTGCTCAATTGAGCTTCAGTGAAGCAAACATTTAAACATTTACATGTAAGCTTCTTTGCAGTTCCTTGTTGACCCTTGTCAGTATTGTCAGTGACTCGGTTTCCATCTGATTTTTCTGTCCTCTCCGAAAGCAGGTGACGTAGCTTTGGCTTGTTCTTAAGGATCTCAGCAAATTTCCACTTTTTCTTTGGTAGCCATTTCCCTTTCGCATCTCGGAAATGTTGACTGGGGATTTTCTTTAATGTTGCCAGATCAACTTTCTTGGGGTTCACTGCGAGAGGTTTCTTATCTGGTTCCTGTTTCACTTCTGGTTTATCTTCCTTTACAAATCTGAAATTATAAATGATTTTCATGAATCAACAAGAAAATGAACTGCACTGCTATCTCTTCAGAGAGAAAAAAAGAGGTCCATGGGCCACAATGCTCACTTTAATCACTATCCCCCCTGCAGTTCCTTAGAAGCAGATTTTTTTCTTCTTTATATTCCAAAGATTTTCTCCTATATATTTCTATGCAAAGCTTTGATCATCCACTGTAGCTTTACCCTACCCCTGGGGGTCATGATTTGAACAAACTTGAATCTACATTACCTGATGATGCTTCCTAATCAATATAACTCATCATGCCTTAGCTCTTCTTTAGATTTTTTATAGATATGCCCATATAAAAACTTCGATCCCCTGTTGTGGCTCAACCCTACCCCCAAGAGTCATGCTTTGAATAAACTTCAATCTATTTAATTTATATATATTTTACAAAAATTTGTAAACTCAAAGTTAGTTATGAAACTTTTTTTTGAAAACAACTAGTTATAAAATCAAACTAGTCTAGATTTGATCATCCAATAATCCAATACCTTTCTTTAAGTAGTTGATGAACAGGCTGTATTGAGGTGACGGCTTTGGTGATACTCTCAGGTTCTCCGCGGGTCAGCTGATACAGCAGTGGAAGAAACGGAGGCTTGATTTTGCGGACCTCTTTCACTTCCTCATAGTCAACATGAACCTTTTAAAATAATATACAGTATAAACTGTCTAATGCACCTGTTTAATCTGTTTCACTGTCAGTGAATTCTGACTTTTATTTTGATTTGCATTTTATTATTTATTAATTAATATGCTTTTTGTCCTGTGTAATTCAACATCCTTTCTATTACGGCACAAAATTTGTCCCCTCAGTGTATGTTGGATTAGACAAGCTTCACTGTATAATCTTTCAATGTTAATAAATAGGTTTTGATTGGTTAATGTCTAAGAATTTTGTATGTAACCATGGTTTCATGAATTAACATTTAAGGAGGAAAGAGAAAAGCTTTGATATACAGTTAATAACACAATCTGATTGTGTCTGATCTAAGAATTTTGTATGTAACATAGCAAAAATTAACTGGAAAAGTAAATGTGGTCTGAATTAATCATGACTAATGTGAATTGAACGTTGATTTCCCATTGACTATATAATATTATACTTGTTGACATCCCCCGCTGCTCTGAGGGTAAAATTACTAGGGCTGGGACGATACAACTTTTTTCTATATTGATACATATCACGATATTTGAGCCACTATAAGATATGTATCACGATATGTTAAATTGGTTATAAAATCTATTTTCTGTATTGAAATGAACAAAACATTTCTTCACAAATAAGAATAATTTATTGAAAGAAGTTGTATATCAGCTAGTAGCTGTTTTAAAACATTATAATTATTTTACACAAGTTGTGTTATTATGTATTTCATATTTATATTCATATTTAGCAGATTTATTTTATATTTTAAACCCAAAATGTTAAGTAAACAAAGAAAAACAAAAGTCAGAATTTTTTTTGCGATATTTCGATATTACTTCATATGTATCGATATGCGTATCGTCTTCACACAGAATCGATATTATCGATATCTCGATATATCGTCCCAGCCCTAAAAATTACCAGTAAAGAGACCTCCAACCTGCCTCAGCATTGCATTATTAATTTACACACATATAAATCACCTCTACTTTGGCGTCCAGTGGCCATGTTGTTCCTTTGTAGAACTGAGGAAACTTGGACTGCTCATCACTGTCCTCACTCTCAGATTCCTCCTGTTAAAGTGTTTTATAAAGCAATATATCTACTTAATTAACACTTCTTAATGACTCTCAGTCTCAAGATAAAACTACAAGATCATCACATACATGTAATTACAATTAAGTTGCATTAATTGTATTAATTAAACACACTGATATAAAAATTTTTCCACAAAATTAAATCAAATGAATAAACATCTATCAGGCCCTCTACATATTTTTACTCTACCTACTTCCTACTGTAACAAATCAATATGTCAAGTGTATTGTGGAGTGGAATTACAGTAGTTAGAATAATCTGTGTCTCGGGACAAGCCCTCACCACAAACCGGGTCCGTAGGACAATATCATTTTAACGATAGAATGTTCTATAGATATAGAATTACAGTAACATCTAATTCTAGCTAGAATGAATTACCACACATAATAAATGTCTAATTTAGTAATTATAAAAACAACATGTCACCTTTTTTATTTTCTTTTTCTTTACAGAATCGTTACTCTGTGCTTTGTCTTTCCTCTTCTTCTGCTGATTTGGTTTACTTTTGCCAGATAATTTGACTCTTGGGTTATCCTGGTCTATGACTGAAGCCTTCGTACGAGCCATTTTTATAGGTATGCTCTGTGAATTGAAACAGATCATGTGTCTTTTAACAGTTTAAATATGTTAACATGTATTCACTGCATATGCCATATAACAAGACTGACTGAGACCCTGTTCAATATCATCCCTGAACATTGGTAAAAATGAAAAGCATCATGATTTACATTATAAACATGTTAAACACAAGAGAAATACAGATTTCTACCATCACAAAACATGTGTCCTGTATCATACACAAGAAGAGTGGAAAATGCTTAAGTGTTTATTTATACTAAATATTTTTGCCATCAGAGAAGAGATTGAAAAGATTAGTTACATCTATATAGATCTAATCAGCTGATATCAAATATAAGTGTGTGATTTTTGTCCAGGGGGAAAATTGAAATAAATCCTTACGTTGTTTATTTATTTAACAATGACTTAAACATGTTAAAACAGCTGTTTATTTACTATGGATTGTCGTATTATTTTTGTTCCTCTGCATTAATTGCTTAGTGCTAACTTGCGCGCGTATTATTATGTCATGTCATAGAACAGGAAAGAGTGAAGAAACCACGACGGCCAAGTAGCATAACGATTTTAATCCGATTGCAAATAGTTAAATTATGGTGATAAAATATAATCATTATCTGCAAACATATTTATATAATGCCTTTAATCACGAGCTATATAGATAGTATGAATGTAGATATATTTACCTTTTCAAAATTCCCTTCCTTGAAAACGAAAGTAAAAAGGTATGATCTTCATCGTCGAAATGTTTGTCAAATTCGTATGACGTGCTTAAGCGTTTTGATAACACTGAAATTCAAGTTCCGAAAGTAAACATCATGTCGCTGGCACACAGGACAAACTTAATGTTATTTAAAAATGTGTTTTGCAGCAGGTTTGCCAATATAAGGAGAATGACATCCAAAAGGCGACATAGAGAGGTACAACTGTAGTTACCATGGTTACATGTGGTCACTCAATCTCGATGTTCTCCAGTTTCTTTTTAACTTAAACTATTAAACAGCTGGTTAAATATTATAAATGCAGGTACAGTTGTAAACGGCGGTTGACAATACTTCAGTATTGTATCATAATGTATGCTCACAAAACACCGCACGACCCATTACACAGGGAATTATTTACTATAGTGTTGTAAATTTATTGAAATCTTTGTGCACCCTGAAGCAATTTACTAAACAAAGTTAAATGCTCCAGGCTTAAAACACGTTACAGGCTGCCATGGCCAAAACAGGTGCAGGTCTAGTACTTCCTCTTGATCAAGGTATATATATCTTGAATGCAAGATATAAATTCTAAAACTTTCTAGTATATTAATCAAACTAGCTTGATGAAGCTGCTGGGGTGCATTTTTGTTTTTCACAATCATGCTTCTAATAGTAACATAAAATCGCAAATATGTGACCATACTCATAGACACTTATGCAAGAATCATGAGCTCTAGAAGAAAAACAAAACACATATTAACACAATCCAAATCAAAGATGTATTGTTAATAATATGTCAAAGAAGTTATGGTCTTCCAATGACAAAAAAAAAAAAAAAACACCATCAAGGTTGGTTACAGGTGAATGAAGTGACCATATTGCATTATGGGCAGTTGCATTGTTGAAGTAGATACTTTTAAATATTTGGCAAAATCTGTATCACAAATCGTAACAACCCAAGACTCCACTATCAGTTCAAAGGCTAAAGGCTACCTGGTCTAAAAAAAATGTTAATAATTGTTAATAGATATTAATAACTCTGAAGACATATGAAATAAAAAATTCATATATATTGAGACGTATACTAGTTTTGCTCAATTTTCATTATATTTATAACAATAAGCTTTAATTTTTAGATCGTACCTGATGAAGAAGTGCGAGTATTCTCTGGAATTCAACCCACAGGTATCCCTCACCTAGGTAACTACCTGGGGGTCATCAAGCTGTGGGCAAAGCTTCAGGAGGAGTACCAGGATGTCATGTATAGCGTTGTGGATCTACATGCTATTACTGTCAGACAGGACCCAAAGGAATTCAGGTCAGTGTATAGATTTTGAAGATAAAATGTTATATTTAAGCTGAAAAAAGTAAATTAGTACGGACATTCTGGGGATTATACCAGGGTCGCCAGCATGAAAATCCAACATGCTAACCATTGCACTAGCAAGGACCACCGCTTCGAAGTGAAAAATGATGAATATCTAGAGTATGAGTTGATCAATCTTAAAACAAATTATATTCAGATCAGTGTATACAGTATAGCTTACTGTCAGACAGGACCCAAAGAAATTCAGGTCAGTATGTAGCTTACTATCAAACAGGATCTAAAGGAATTCAGGTCAGTGTGTTGCTTTACTGTTAGACAAGACCTGAAGAAATTCAGGTCAGTGCACAGCTTTAACTTAATTGTATAACAGCTTTAATTAAAATCACTGCAGTGCAAGGACCGAAAGGAATTCTGAAAGTCGAGGTCAGTGTGTTGCTTACTGTCAGACAGGACCCAATACAGGTCCATGTATATCTTACTATTAGACAGGACTCAAAGGAGTTAAGGTTAGTGTATTGCACATCAATTTACTATCCATCTTAGATGGTGTCTAAAACAATGCAGTTCAGTATATAACAGTTAACCTGTTAAACCCCAAGAAAAGTTGGTTTTGTTATAACATTTAATTGTAAACTTTTTATCTCACTTCGACAAAGTCAAGATGAGCTTAGGCTGTACACCTGTCATCGGCATAGGTCTTGGAGTCCTAGCTGTTTAAAGAGTTTTAGGAGCAAGTCCATTGCCAAGTAACTATAAACTTTACATAGACCAAACTTGCATTCTACGAATGGACACTACCAGACTTGCTTTGGATGCTGGATCTGACCTACATTTTTCAGAGGAGTAACCAGGTTAAAGTTTTTGGAGCATGTCCATTCCCAAGTATCTATAAACCCTACCTGGACCTAACTTGCATGGATGATGCATCTAGGGATATACACTACCAGATTTGCTTCAGATGCTGGATCTGACCTACGTTTTCTAGATGAGTGACCAGGGTAATGTTTTTTAAGTAGCTCTGTAACTACATGGCCTGTTATGTTAAACTTGCAAGGATGATGCATCTAGGGATGGACACTATGAGACTTGCTTCAGATGCTTGATCTGACCTACATTTTCTAAATGAGTGAACAGATTAAAGTTGTAGGAGCTGGTCCATTCCCAAGGAGTTATAAACTCCACTTAAATCAAACTTGCATGGATATTGATCTCTGGTGCTTCATGATGCATACTAACTAGAAAAAAAAATTGGTTTGAGATTTGCCTTACTTATACATAACATTTGTCAAGGTGGGCTTCATAATCCTTGTTTACCTATGTTTAAGTGTGGGATGAGACCATTCCAGTATTACTTATTCATTAACCGTGGTGAAATAATTATCACAGCTACAAGTGACATCTGTACACAAATTATTCACTGACGTTCGTAATAGTAACTGGCTTAAATTTCTCAGCAGTCCACATATCCAGCCTAGCCAAATCTCAGCTGAGATTAGTGAAAAGAACTTCTAGATATTAATAAAACTGATCAGAAATAGAATAGAGGAAAAGAAATTTTTAATTATCTAGTAATCCAGAAGTCATGAAGTTTATGGTTGTAGTTAATCAGTACACTATTGTAAATAGTATTGTCACCTTTTTATATGCAATAGAATGAAGAAACACTCATTTATTTATGAAGAAAGCACAGTAAATCATATTCTATGACCATGCATGATGACTCCAATCAGAAAGATTACACATGCATACACATGTAAAACAAGGGCACCACAACATGGCAAATCCCCTGGCAAATGAGCACATCGAACCCAAAATTAGTTATGATATATGTGTAATGTAACTTTTGTTACACATGTGCTCACTCACCAACACACATATACTGTATATACCCGCCTATAAGTCGGTCCGCCTTTAAGTCGTTTGTATTTTTAAGCTTAAATTAGAGGGATTCACTCACTAAAATACCAAACTTTTTATAAATCGCGCATAAGTCGGATAAAGAGTTTTGGACCAAAGTTTAACTCCCAAAAAAACGACTTATAGGTGAGTATATACAGTAGGTACAAGCACAATATTGCTATATCCCCTCCAACTTCCTTGCCAGGGGATAACAAGTCTTGTGTGTTTAGCTCCAAAGCAGTCCATATAACCTTGTTTTCTCTCATACCCTCTCCTCTCAGGCCTTTCAAAATCTGCCTGTATGTGGTACATATGTATTTTTACCTGGCTGAAATGATTGAACTGCCCAAAATATTTGTTGGAGAAAAATCTAAATCAGATAGCATATTGAATTAAAATCTCTTCCAGAAGGTACCTCTTATTTGTAAAAATACCACGTTTCTAATCTTTTTGAAAGCCCTCTCAGTGGAGAGATACTGGATAAAGAACCTGCGTTGCTACAATGATGCTTTCACCTTTACTTTCTATATTTGTAGAGAGAACATTTACAAGATGGTGGCCTGTCTGCTGGCCTGTGGAATAGACCCAGAAAAGTCAATCTTGTTTTTACAGTCACAGGTATATTATTAGTGAATTATAAATTGGATCCTTTATTAAATTGTGTGTAAAATGTTTTAAGTAGGAATGTTGTGAAAGGTTCCTCTTTCTGATGTGCGTCAAAAAAATTTCGATAGTAAAGAATGATATAATTAATGTATGTAGAATAATAATTATTCAAAGATGCAATAGTTGTATTCAAAAAAGACTCTGCAGAGTGGAAGCTTTATATGAGAGTAAAATTACTTGTATCATGATTAGGTTATTGTACATGTAGTTTTGATAGTTTTGATATAATTTTGAAACTGTGAAAAGAAGAGCTGTACATGAAGTATTTTCACATGCAATAAATGGGGTCTTAAAGCTTCATGGGTATTCATGTATTTAGTATGTTTTCTACATTTGCCCTTAAATTGAATAAACCCTGTTTTGCTGGTTTATTGATTGTCTTTTTAAGTAATTACAGGCAATTAACTACACAGCATAACATTATTTAAAAATCAGTTTTGATGTATGCTGTATAGGAAATGAATTAAAAGCATGTCAAAACCTTAAACTATTGATTTTTTAATTTAAATTCTTCAGATGAAAGATTCAGGTAATATGTGCTTGACTACAGTTTAATATTCTTGCTATGAAAGTCAGGATATATTTTCAAATAATCTGTTACAGGTGCGACAGCACAGCGAGCTCTGTTGGATCCTGAGTTGTATCACGACCAACGCCAGACTTCAGCTTTTACCTCAGTGGAAGGTTTGTCAAAATACAGTCAAACATCAGTATGTCAAACTCGGCAGATTTGAGCAAAAAAAAAAAAAAAAAAAAAAATGAAGGCCTCAAGGTAACTGAGAGTATGAGATGAGTTGAAACTCAAACTCAAACTGTAGATGGGAGATAGCCTCACTTTCTCTCTTTGACAAAATTTATCCTTGGCATTTGACATCAGCACTCTTAGATACTGAATGAAGTTCAAGCCAATTTAGTTAATATACAATATTGGGGGGGGAGGGGGGGGGGGCGTCAATGTCAATGTTTAAAACTTTTAAAAGAAACGTTTTATTTTTTAAATGTTTTATTTTTTTTTTTCAATTTTGGAGTACATAAACTAGATGATACTAATTCTGAAACCATGATGCAAAATACACATCAGCCAGATGAGCTTTCTAAGATTTTCATTGTTTAACTGAATTCATATTTTTATGATCTTTCAGGAGAAATCTAACACAAAGAATCCCAGTGTTGGCTTGTTTACTTACCCTGTTCTTCAGGCAGCTGATGTTTTACTGTACAAGTAAGATAGAGAATTCATGACAGAGAATAAGAAAGAAATTTTCCATTTTCATATAAAAATGAAGAAGGTGCATTTTTACATGTGAATGTGGATTAGTTTGCAAGTATAATATGTTCTTTTTCCTGATCCCTTTGTTGAATTACATGTTTCAAATTTATTTTTAAAATTTACAGTTGGTACCAGTTGATACCAAATTTTATGAAGAGTTACTTCCCTTTGCAAAGACTTTTTTTTTGTTTTAAAGTTTGGTAGGCCTGGCACTTTCTTAAAAATAAATTCTGAGTTGACCTAGATACTTCTGTTTTTGACTTATTGATCCAGATTTCTATTCAGATCCACACTTGTTCCCATTGGAGAGGACCAGAGACAACACTTAGATCTGTGTGAAGATTTAGCCATATCTTTTAATAATAAATTTGGGAAAGTCTTCCGTGTCCCAAAAATGTTACTTGGTAAGTGTATGGTATATTATAATCATGGTATGCGTGGTGTTATAGATGCATGATTTAACTTATTAATAAAGATATGTTGTTAAATTATTTATATGAAATATAAGTGAAATATGAGTATGATTTGTCATAAGGCAACAACCCCCATTGACATTTTATTCTTCAAAAACCAATATGATGCATTAACAAATGTTGAGCTCATCTGGTCAGGTGAAATTTTATTTATCAGCAGATCATAATATCAATCATGCAAATTTCATTTAGGTATTTACAATTTTAGCAATAGTATATATGTAGGACTCAATTTTACAAACACATTTTAAAGCTGTATGGTGCGCAAGTGTTCAGATTTTTAAATGCTTGTTTCTAAAATTTCATCAGAATAGACCAATACGCTGGTTGTAGCAAAAGTTTTAAAGATCCGTCCCAAATATTCCAGAAGAGCGTAGAGCTAAAACTCTATTTATCATATGTTCAAATGATGAAAAATATCCTTTCCATTTATCCTTTGTCTTATGCCTGACTTGTAATTAAAGAAAAAATTCTTTGCTTAACCATCTATTTACAACTACCTCATACCATGTTCAAGAATTTTGTATACTCAATTAAGTAGACTGTTTAACCGCTGCATTTTCTCTTGTGTCCTGATTCCATCAAAATAAACAGCTTTCCAAAATTCCTAATATGCACTTGTGAAATCTAAATCTCATGTTTACAACTGCAGTGAAACTATTTAGTGCATGTATTGTATTCACTAAGTAATTAGGGCCCCGCAAGGATTTGCGGGTGCCCTATAGTAATCACTCTGTCTGTCTGTCTGTCTGTCTGTCTGTCTGTCTGTCCGTCCGTCTGTCTGTCTGTCATTCTTCCGTCCACAAATTTTCTGTTTTTTTCTAATAACTTTTTTTGTAGTTGACCAATTAAGTTCAAATTTGGTATGTTGGTTGAAGAGGCAGTAAGACATATTTTGATGCTAAATTTGGTTCTCTGTGTCATCCAGTTTGGAGCTGGGGTGGTGGGGTAGATTCCTTAACTTTACATTAGAATGAATGCCAGGGCAAAGAGAGATAACTGCTGAGAATGTTCCTATTGTAAACTATGAAAGCTGCAACTAGTCCCATGAGATTAATTAGCTTTCCTCTTGAAGAAAATCCAGAGCATTATCTGTTTCTGTCAAATTTAAATTAAATAACACCTCTGTCTGCAAATGAAGTTTGTTTTGAAGTTAAAGTCAATTCTGAATGATGTTTACATTCTCTGAAATGTGGATTTAAATAATGTTCATACTTTATTTTGGTAAAATATACAATGAGTTATGATTTTATTGAATTCTAAAAACAAGATATACATAAAGATATGTTTTTTAAATTTTTTTTGTTTTTATTCATTTATTTTATTTATTTATTCTTTTTTTGGCTGCTGTATGTAAATTCAAGAATACTATTAATTTTAACGAGTAGTCCAATAACAAACACATTGTATCATTACTGAAAGAGTTCTTATTATAAACTTGGAAGAAAAGGATGAGAGAGCAGTACGATTAATCCCATGGGATTAATTATCTTGTCTGGGGCAGAACATTTTCCAGGCTTATCTTTATTTGTCACTTTAAGATAAATTAATCTTTGTCTGCAACTGATGTTTTTTTTTTTTTTTGAAGTTAAGGTCAAGCCTGGGTGATATTTGTATTCACTGAAGGCTGGCATTTTATAAAACACATGCTTTATTCTTGTTTAAATATACATTTAATTGAGTTATTATAGATATGATGTTTTTTACTGCCTTATGTAAATACAGGGATACTCTTTACAGGTAGTTGGATATTTAGGAATTATCTTGAAATTTTATAAAATTGTTATTGCTTAATCTTCTTCATATATTTTCAAATTTTTGTAATCAAAATTCTCATTCTGTAAGCTGTACCCTTATATTTCTACTCCTCGGAGGGGCCCTTGCTGACTGGTCAGTTTTCTAGTTATTAACAGTATTCATTAATTATCACATTGTTGTCCACTCCAAAGCAGCTAAAATATGAAGCCTGCTTTTCAAGTACATATACAGTATGTCAAAAACAAGAAGCCTGTGGGCCACAGTGCCACCTGAATCTCCAAGGCCCTGCTGATTTTTTGGAATTTTTTTCTTTTATTTCCATGTAAAACATTTGAATCTTAGAATCAGGTGATCTAAGAATTCAGAATTAAGTCCTTACATATATATATATTTTTTTTTGCTTTCTAGGTGACTCTGCAAAGATAAAGAGTCTGCGATTTCCAGAAAACAAAATGAGTAAATCTGATAAAAGTCCTAAGGGGAGAATTGACTTAACAGATTCTAATGATGACATAGCATCTAAAATCAAAATGGCTGTCACAGACTTCACCTCACAAATCTCTTATGACAAGGAAAATCGCCCAGGTGTGACCAACCTAATTAATATTCATGCTGCTTGCACGGGGGAAACACCAGAGGAAATTTGTGAAACATATTCCACATTGACAACTGCTGAATATAAAGTCCTCCTAGCAGATATTGTGATCAGTGAAATTCATCCAATCAGAGAGAGGATTTTATGGTTGCTTAGTGACAAGTCACATCTTCAGAGCATTTTAAGACAGGGACAGGAAGTGGCATCTGTGATAGCTGAGGACACAATGAAGGATGTTAGAAATCTTGTAGGATTTATGTGATGAATAATAAATTTTAAAAATGTTAAAATTAATTTGGTTTTTAATTTTTTTTTTTGCACATATCAATCAAAGTAAAGAGATAGCACTCAAAGACAGAGTCAAATTGATAAAGTTCATGTTTTTATAAATTTCATAAATGTTGTAGATTTTTATAGGGTTTTGATTCAAACTTAAAATAAATTTAGAAATTTAAAAATTTAAATGAAATCAAAAAGAAAAATTATTGTGCATAAAATATTAAATTCACTCTCTTTAGATTTATTATTAGTTGAGGAACCTTGTGGAAATTTTCTTTGTATTTCACCATGCATAATCTTTCCAACATTTACAATTTCTTCTCTAAAATTTAATCGTAGCTCAGTCGGTAGAGCGTTCGCTCCGTGATCGGGAGGTCGTGAGTTCGAAACTCGGCCGCGACCGACCTAAGTCGATAAAAAATGGGTAGCAACTGTTCCTTCGCCATGCGCTCGGCACTTTGAAGTGAAAATTGCGGGTCTTTCGGATGAGACCTTAAAAACCGAGACCCTGGGTCACGACAGGCGTTGGCACGATAAAGATCCCTCACTGCTCAATGGCCTTGAGTGCCGAGTAAAGGTCAAAATTTGAACCCTTCACTGGTATATGGTGACGTCTTTATATGAGTGAAAAATTCTCGAATGGGACGTGAAACAACATATAATCAATCAATCAATCTCCAAAATTTCTATAAATCATTATTGGGTGATAAAAATTAAAATTTGCACAAATGATAGGATGTTCTACCTTTTAAAAGAAGCTACTGTAGAAGGAGAAACTTTAATTAAATTAAGATTGACTTGATTTCTGTACTAAATACAATTCATTGGGGCTCAATTATGTGGTTTTCTTAAAGATTATAGGTATTCTTACGTAAATTCTTAAGTAAATTTGAAAAGGGAATGTAATTTTGTCAAATAAAAAAAAGTTATCCTCCAGCAGAAAAAAAATATGTAAATGCATGCAGTTAAGAAATATTGAAAGTCATACGTCATCTCTGAAGATTACAAATGAGTGTAGGCCTATCTCGTAAGAGCATCTGATCCAGTAATGACAAAACTGTTGAGGTTTGTAAAACAATAATTGCAAAACAATACATCAACCACTAACATGGTTTTTTTGGGGCATTTTTTCTGCACTGTTTGCAATCAAACAAGCAGAGCATTTTATTGTTTCACTATTTTGTTCGATCATTTGGCTTCACATGTTGCACATTAATTATGAGAATGGTGTCGTCAAATTTTGCTATTGATCCACATTTAAATGCAGTGACTTTATAAAAGTTTACAATGAAATCTATGTAAGTCAACAAGCAATTGGACACATATTTTTGTGTCAGAAAGGATGTTGAAATGCACTGTCTAAAGAACATGGAAAAATAATTTTTGGAGTGAAACGGCTCGCACAGGGTTGTACTAGAAAGTCTTTCCAGTATTACAATATGGCATCTTACTACAATAGTCTATTTAAAGCGATCAGTCTTAATTTTCGTCATGTTAGATGTATTATTTGGCTGCACATTATGATCTCGGTAAAATCGAACTATACATTTTATTCTTGTCTCATTGTTTTGACACGTGTACCTTGGAAATGAAAACGATTTCTAAAATTCGTTTAAACCCGAAGGCTCTCCTAAAGTCAGTACATTGCTGCAGTATGGAAATCAAACAAACAATGATAGTAGATTAATATAAGAGTACAATTCTATTAACAGTTTACTTTTGAAAGACGGAACACAAAGGTTTATTACAAAAGGTCGAACAAATTATTTATTTTGAACAACTAGTCCGAGTTTTTATCCCTTAAGCAATCAATTTCTATATCACGGTAACGATCGGTGTATTGTTTCTTTAAACCTCAAAGAATTGAAGTGCCGACTACAATGTCATTCAGAATAGTTTATCATGTGTTTTAATTTCAAGACAAATTGCCATGACTTGAATTCAAAAAAGAGTTTATTTGCTTTTAATCATCGCAGGCACGTAATTTTTTTTGAATGTGGCGGACCACCCAGAAAAATACTTGACAACTTTTCTGAAAAATCTTTGACAAGCATAATTATAAAGGTTAACTGTCCAAACTTTGCGGGGGTGGGGTGGGTGTTCCAACTTTTTCGCAAGAAAATTTTTTCGATACATGGTAGAATTCGACGTTTCTACAACAAAAAGTGTGGGGGTGGGGTGTGTGGTGGTTTCACCTGCCTTTCAATGAACATTTTCTTACTTAATTAACAGTTGAACTTAAGTAAGGTCTCTCCCCCCCTCCCCTTCCCCGACACTATGTAATATCCCTCATTGTATTAACTTTCTTCCATGGGAAAATATGCTTTGGTAAAATGTCCAAGTGATTTATTATTAAGGGGCAAAAAGTCTGCAATAGTTAAACATTTTGAAGCATGAACGAGAGAGAGATGTTTGGAATACTAAGTCAATAATCCTATAGGTAATAATTATAAGTCAAACTGGCACAGAGAGATAAAAAAATTAAAGCTTTTGGGAATCCTAGAATATTAACCCCCTTGATATAAATCTGCACAAGTTGTTTACACAAAAAAAATAATTTAATATATTAATTGATAATAACAAACAAACAAACAAAAATTAAATAAAATGAACTTAAACAAATGTAAGTGCTTTAAAAAGAGAAAACAGTATCTCTGTTTACGATGGGGTGTTCAAGGTTTACGAAGAAGCATTTTCACCACCTTCAAGGGCTTGTACATATCCCAGCCATACCAGCCCATAACATTACTTCCGGATGAGGCGTACGTCGCCGTCAATTTGGTTCGTAGACAACTCAGATTCCACCAGGCTGTTTTATAGTCCACTGCGCAATTTCCGGAATTTGTATCATGGTCGACATCCTTAGCAGAAAAGGGGGCATTGTTGTGAAAGGCCATACTGTCACCTAATAAATTAAAATCCATGTATATTATTTAAAAAAAATTAATATAGACATTAATTTGGAAATTGATAAATCAATGGGAAGCTCTATATTACCAAATGCAATATATAGTTATAATGCTGAGGGAATTAATTTTTGGTAAACTGGTATTGATGTACATGTACGATGAAGTTATTTTTCTCTCTCAATACATAATTTTCAAAAAACTCGTTATTTTTTTTTTTTTTTTTTAAATATTTTTACTTATTTATCTAATGATATTTACCTGCATCCCCAGTATAACCGGAAACCGTCATAAGATAATTAGTTGAAGTCGATCCAACATTAAAACTACTGTACTCTGCGTAACGAGTGTTTGAAGAGTAATCCTCGAATTCAAACCTCAGCACTGTGTTTCCCCCGGCTGTCAACAGATGGATGTATAGGTTTCCTACAATCGAAGAAGACTTTAGTTAGCATCATATGTTATAAAATGACTCTTCTTTGTGACCCTTTCAATAGCCATCCTCCGCGGCTAGGATCGATAAAGCTGTCCGAAAAATGTCACAGTATACCAGCCGTAGTAACTTCTCTGAACTACCTAGATATGACGTCATAATGGCATATGACGTCAAGTCACTGCAAATTTGAGCAAACATGACGGGGAAAGTGTCATAACCTTTACATTCCTTTCACATCACATGTAGAATTTTATTTACGTTGATGTTTATAATTCATGTGTTTTGATTTTTGTTTTAAGGCTGTTATGATGGTGAATATTTGCAGTATGATATCGTTATTCCTTTTTCTTATATGAAATGTACGTATTCAAATAATTACAAGAAAGATTGTGAAATGCTCCCCTTACACGTCCGTAGACAGAGTTAGAATTTATAAATCTTATATATATTAGGCTGGCACAAGTGAATGATAAGGATTAATTGAAGATATTCTGTGTGAATCTACTAGAGAAATATGTTCTCTAACTGAATTTTGCTGGGGGATTGTATGTAATTTATCCAATTTTGTATAAATTGTGATGAAGAGTGGAAAATGACCCCTTGTATGTGGGTAAGTTGAGTTTCTCGTGAAATAGTTTCTTAAGAAATAAAATTCAGATTTTCCCCCAGCACTTTATATATACCCAAGAACACGTTTAATTAGTTTAAGTAACAAGCCGTTCACAATAATTTTGTTTTTCACTTGTGCCGATGCGATTTTTGTGCAACATTTAGGAAAATTTATAAGTGTCCGTCACGTGATCAACACAATCATCTTCTTCTTCCAAGTAACTAGTACTGCAAACCTCCTCTGGAGTATTATCGCAGACTTTATTTGCTCCGCATGCCCAACAGAAGCGTGATGTTAAAATACTCACAAGTTTAAAGATAAAAGTCCATATGTTCAGTTAAAAACACAGCACTATTCTAGATGGTATATGGATTGCCAAGTTGGTGCAGCTGCTCCTTAACCCTTTCGACGCTGAATAAAGTTACGTCTATAACGTCATGGATGCCGTACTATGATGTCAATTGGGACGTAAAATAATTGCTTCAGAAAAATCGTCAAATTGATAATGAAACAAGCACCTGTTTAACCAAGATAATAGGATGTTTATAGTTTTCAAGGAAAAATCGTATAATATAGTCATATTTATTGCAGTAATTTTTAATCGCCATAAAGTAAATTTAGCCAATATTTATCCTGTAGCTAGCATATGCAAGGAAAGTTCTTTAAATATAACAAAAGAGAGTTTAATCTATAATTTCAAATAACATTTCTACTAAATGTTATAAACAAATGACTGCCGTCACGAGTAAAGGGCCCTTAAATAGCCTGGCCCCTTCTGAATGCAAATACATGTATAAATAACTTTAAAAAACATATCTGATTATTTTTCTTCTGTATTTTATGAGCATTTTAGTAAGGCACTTCAAAACTACGTTGACGTTACTGACTGAAAACCTAAGAATGCCGCGTGCGTAAATTCAGTTTCTAAACATTCTTAAAATTATTTAAATAATTTTAATCGTTTTGACACATAAAAACTTGAGAAAATATTTGATTTTTTTCTTCTAAACTACTAGTATGTCCTAAGAAAAAGACTCCTTAGTTCATACTTCTAGAGGCAGAT